CGATGACGGCAACCTTCCACGTCATCATGCGTCTCCTTCGTCCCTGCCTTCACCCACGCCTACAACAGAGAGACAGCCGTCCTCTCCACACACAGATAGACAGACAGGCAGACAGACAGACATACAGACCCATGGAGCCGTCGCGCGGGTGGTCACATGGCCCGAGAGATGACCATCTGGCGTGCCGCCGGCTTTCATCCCGTTTCACCGCGGCCGCCGGTCACCGCGACACGTGCTGCTGGGAGCGGGGGGTGTGCTGGAGGGGGGATAAGCCCGCCACACGTGCCGCTGGAAGGGGGGGGTGCTGCAGGAGGGATAAGCCCGCCACACGTGCTGCTGGGAAGGGATGTGGAGGGGGTGACAGACCCGCGGCATGTCTCGCGGAAAACAGTGACGGGTGAAGTGTGAAGACAGACGCGGACAAAGTTGTCAGGTGCCGTGATCGCGGCGAGGAACAGTGGAACAATAGGGGAGGGTGATCGCAGAGATCACTTCCCTTTCTGTCCTCACTAAAGGGCCAGTTACGGTAGGCTAGCTCACAACAGCTCCTGGCTTCATACCACCTCTATTGTGCGCTGCTAGGGGCCACCCTTGGTGACCGAACCAGGATGCACGCGGTGCCCACTTTGTCCGTGTCAGAACACCCGGTGGGATGTTCACACGGATGACGCTTTCTGAATGATTGGATATTTGGAGCGACCGCAGTAGCTCTGTAATTATCCATGTGGGTCGCTTGTCGCTCTGGTTTTGAACACGATGGATGGATTTGCGACGACCTCCGGCTTCGGAGCAGAGTCCGAGGGCTAGACGGTCGGTTTCCCCGCCCCTGGTCTTTTTTTCAACCCATTGCTCGGGCTCCGCTGTTTTACTTGAACACTGTGGCTCCTTAGTGCACCTGCACTTACAGGCAGAGCTGCAGTGTGCACTTATCAACCATTTCCGTGATCTTATTGTGTGACGCTATAGGCTAGCCAAGCGATCATGTAAACACAGTTATTGACAGAATAACATTTAGTTTCACTGTGCATTGATGTCTCACTTTACATACCGCACCTGGTAACTACCCGTCCTCGGCATCACTCCAAGACAATTTGTTATTTCCACTTGGCCGGGCACGGGCACGCCGCGAATCGGGCTGCGGACAAACCTTTTGTGTTGATCAGTCCGGCCGGGGTGTGAGGGAAAGTGTCCGGCTGGTCCGAGTCCGGAGCGGAGCAGGAGCCACCTGCGCTGCTACTGTATGCACGGAACACAAATCTTACAGCTGCAGTCTCGCCGTGGCACGGTGTATCGCGGCTTCATGCAAAGCACGGTGATTTCCGGTGAATATTATCGTGAGAGTGTGAGAAAAGCCGAAAGCTTCGTGGTCACCTACGAGAGGCCATCTTAGCTTCAAGAAAACGCTAATCCATTTGAGGCACAAGGCAGCCACTCGCAATTACCGATCGCTCATTTCGTAAATGCGGCGTCGTGACAGATGTTTAAGCTTCACCGCCTTGTGGAGGGACTACTCGTTGCTTCGTTGTTGCCGTTTTATTACGGACAGGTAAACTACCAAGGAAGTCGAGAGTCGTTTCGCAAAGGCAGATCAGGTAATGGCCACATGGGCTACAGAGACCAGGATGAGTGTCCGTGTCGCTGCCTTATGTCAGCTCAGTCAACCGGAAAGCGGGGCTTGCAAAATTGTCCGCCAGACAACGGCCCAGATGTGACACAACGGCACGGTTTGGTAAGGTGAGACTGCCAATCGCTGGAAGGTGTCACAGCTAATGGATGTCCAGAACGAAGTGGTTATGGTAGCGAGTGTTGTCGCTAAGTGGTGTTCATGAAACGATCAAGCGAAAGCACCCAGTCTGATCGCACAAAAAAGATATTGGTTTATCATAAGGCGGGTTTATAAAGTACATCGAATTAAAACGCCAAACAGGTATGGACAGGCCAGTATTAAGAAGCGCTCGTCTATGCCAGGAGTGCCTGAAAGCTCGTATTCTTATTGGTGCCGATCGAGTTTAGAGCAGTGTAACACCTTTAGAGCATGGTGTGACAGTGTGGTCATAAGTGGTTAAATCACATGTTTGGCCTCTGCAACTTTCGTAATCGATGTGGTTTTAGTTTACCGCACAAGCGCCACGTGAAAAACTGCAGAGGCAGCGGATGAACGATGCGGTGGCAACCACATGCGGTTTGGAAAAGCGTGCTCTGACAATATGACGGACCCGTGAAAACGCGCAGGGTGGAAAACGACACCGTGCTGGGAACTTTATTTCAAGTTTAATAATACCACTTCAACGTGCTGGCGAGTGTGACGGGTTTACACAGTAGTGCTGGCGTTAATGTCACCCCCGGTATCCAGACAGGCGCAATCTGCGCGCGGTACAATGACTTGCCATAGGCCAGCGGCTTCCAGCAGAGGCGTCATGTTTGTAACATGACTTCTGTGGCTCTGATGACACATTTTTAGGGAGGTGAAAAATGTGCAAAAATTCAGCGAGTTTCACTTAGATCCAAGACAATTTATTTCCTGAAAATCACGAGTCATGTAATGTGTGCAATCTGTGTTTATCATAATATCATTATTTTATTTTACTTTCAAGTTGGAATTTATTTTGTCTTGTGAAATTGACCTTGACTGAAGCTTCAAGACCTGCCTTTTGCAAAGTCCATCAATCTAAGTTAAGTGATTTAATCCCCATCATTATCTTTCAACATGTATGAACTGAAAATCCACTGTCGATGACAGCACGATCTTCCCATTATGCACGAGCTACAAACGGCCATTGTACGCATAACCCACAAATTGTACATGGGAAGGGCCCATGCTCCCCTGCGCATGGCGTTTCGCTCGCAACGTCAGCGTTCGTCAGCGGCAGTGACGACAACCACTACCCAGGCCGGCGCACACGAGACCGGCCGTTTCGGCTGCGTGAACGCAAAATACATCTTCCTGGGAGATTCCCACGCTTCAGTTTCACTGCCTGAGTCGGCGCCGCGCTGGGCGGGGGCGGCGGCGCGGGCGGCGCGGGCAGCGGGGGCGGCGGCGGCGGATCCCACGGTGGAGGTGCGGGAGGAGTCGGCACGCACGCGGCATCCTCGACCATTAGTGTCCATCATTGGCTCTCTGTGATCGTCTTGGTGGACAGCGGACGATATCCCGCCCCCCGTTATTGGCGCTACGTGCCAGACGGGAGAAATCTGCAGGCCAGGAGACGGGCGAGTCACTGCAGGACTATCCCGCTATGTTTGCCTTTTATTTACAGGCGAAAGAAGGTAGGTAACCCTAATAAACGGAGTAGCTGAAAGTGTTATGCTTTGTGGCCAAGTTTATTTCATTTTTTCCCCTGACTGAACGACTTGTATATTAGTTTCTCTTTTCGACTTAATCCGTCCAATTTCTGTCCTATTCTCGATTTATCCCAGAGTGAGATCCTTTCTAACCACAAACGAACTGAATCTGAAAGTCCTTCACGAACCGAGCATGATCGTCTTTCCTCCAGCATTAGCGCCACTTCTGACGGTTGAGAGGCCGTCCCGTCATCGTCACGTCATCAGTGACGCATCCTCGTCCATTTGGTGGTCCTCATCATCTCCAATCAAGGCGATCCGTCACGACCCGGCGCCGCGCGTCCGTTCGGCTCAGCGCCCTGCTGACCGCAGAACAGCACCACAAACAAACGACGTCATCGCGTCATCGAGCCGGCTCGGCCGGTCACGTGGTCAGGCGGCGACAGTGTGGGAGTCGGTTCCTTCCGTCACGTGACATGACCACTGGGTAGGGAGGTGTGACGCGGGTGACACAGTGGTAGACACAAGGATCGTAGGCGCTCTACCGTACTGCGTGGTTACACACCGGATGGGAATGGTGACGGTGAACCCACAAAGGCCGTGGAGGGGCAGCACTGATGGCCAGGAGTTCTGGGTCACAGCGCGGTCACTGGACTGAGGATGGATGACATGTAAACATTGGCGAGGTCAAGTTTAACTGGTAATTGGTAGCCGCGGTTAGTTTGGTAATCTGGTGTTAACTGGCGGTCGCTTATGAGGGCATTTATGTCGTGTTTATCACATTGGGGTAGTTGTTAATAGGCCGCATACGTGTTATTAGGCGTATTTCTTATAAATAACCGTGACATATTCATTTATGTCGATGAACACCTAACAAATACCTATTGTATTTCTTTTCGTTTTGCTTTGATCTTAACATAATGGATAGGTGCATAATGTATATGTACGTTCCGCCTTACCTATAGGTATCCATTACCATTACTTATGACTCGGGTCCCAGAACTTACAAAAACGATCGAACAAATGCGATTAAAATCGTTTTATATGTTTAGTACCCGGGAGATCTCAATAAATTTGTCAAACACACCTTATTCACACGCCAGAAAGTTTGTCACGTAAGAGCATTGAAAGGACCGTCTACACACGGCGTCCAATCAGGCGTCACTCGTCGTTTCAGCATGCTCAGCCTCACACTGAACGGAGACCTTATGACGACACAGGTCAGACTTCATAACGGAGACAAATGATGATTGTTGCCCAACCGGGACTAGTGTTTGTCCGTAACTCTGGTGGAATATGCATAATTCATGGGGTGATGGCACCGCGAGGATGGTATTTCACAGAGGTGGCGCCGAGACAGTATCTTCGACCACATATCCTGTGCCCAAACATCTGAACTTCAGTTGAGCAAGCCCTGCGCCTAACTCATGAGAGATCATGATGAGACATTATGACGAGGAACTTTTTTTAACCGTTTGTGTGTCCACACCGAAGCACAATACCTACATATGACTTAACATAATAAATTTGTCGACAACGCTATCTATTAGAACATACATGCCCAAAGATGAACCAAATTTTACAAAACCAAATCATTTATATACTTCTTGCCTACACAGACTTGAGACCTTTCTTGTACCTATCATCGAACTCATTTTGCCCCGGATTTATCTCGCGCCACTCTGTCTAAGACTGACGGTTGTCTCCTTCCTCCGCAGATGCTCCTCCTGGCTGTCGTGGCCGCGTGCGTGGCCACAGCAGCGGAGGAACACCACCGAGAGAGGCGAGGCCTCTTCGGGCTCTTCGGCAAAAAGCGCTCCGGCCGAGGGCGTGGCCACGGACATGGCGGCAGAGGCCGAGGCAGGGGCAAAGGTCACGGTGGCAAGGGACGCGGACGCGGCAGGGGGCGGGGTCATGGACGACCCTCGACCAGCTATGGTCCGCCCTCAACCAGTTACGGCCCTCCGTCTACGAGCTACGGACCACCTCCGTCAACCAGTTACGGTCCTCCGCCTTCCACTAGCTATGGTCCCCCACCTTCCACTAGCTATGGTCCTCCACCTTCCACAAGTTATGGTGCTCCGTCTGGCGGTCACGGAGGTGGAGGCGGTGGACACGGAGGTGGAGGCGGTGGACACAGCGGAGGTGGTGGATATAGCGGAGGTGGAGGCGGTGGACACAGTGGAGGAGGCGGTGGACACAGCGGAGGTGGAGGCGGTGGACACAGCAGTGGACACGGAGGTGGAGGCGGTGGACACAGCGGAGGCGGTGGATATAGTGGAGGCGGAGGCGGAGGACACAGCAGTGGAAGCGGCGGATATGGCGGAGGTGGAGGCGGTGGACACAGTGGAGGAAGTGGAGGAGGCGGTGGATATAGTGGAGGCGGAGGCGGTGGACACAGTGGAGGAAGTGGAGGAGGCGGTGGATATAGCGGAGGCGGAGGCGGAGGACACAGTGGAGGAAGTGGAAGCAATGGTGGAGGCTACGGCGGGGGATCGGGAGGAAACATCGACGTATCTGCTTCCTGTAAGGCTTGCAGTGAATTTAAGTGGGTGCCGATTCCGGGACCGAGTGGCGGCAACAGGCAGCCAAAGCAGAGCTACGGAGCACCGGCGCAGCCCCAGCAGAGCTACGGAGCACCAACACAACCTGAACAAAGTTATGGAGCACCAGCGCAACCAGAGCAAGGTTATGGAGCGCCAGCACAACCTGAGCAAAGCTACGGAGCGCCAGCACAACCTGAACAAAGCTACGGAGCGCCAGCACAACCCGAACAAAGCTACGGAGCGCCAGCGCAGCCCGAACAAAGTTACGGAGCGCCAGCGCAGCCCGAACAAAGCTACGGAGCGCCAGCACAACCCGAACAAAACTACGGAGCGCCAGCGCAGCCCGAACAAAGTTACGGCGCGCCAGCACAGCCTCAGCAGAGTTACGGAGCTCCTGAGCAGTCTCAGCAAAGCTACGGAGCGCCAGCACAGCCTCAGCAAAACTACGGAGCTCCAGCACAACCTCAGCAAAGTTACGGAGCGCCAGCACAGCCTCAGCAAAACTACGGAGCTCCAGCACAACCTCAGCAGAACTACGGAGCGCCAGCACAGCCCCAGCAAGACTATGGAGCTCCTCAGCAAGCCACTCCTCAAAAAGACTACGGCCCTCCGTCCCAGCCTCAGCAGAGCTACAGCTCCCCGCAACCTTCCCAGCCTCAGCAGAGCTACAGCTCCCCTCAAACCTCCCAGCCTCAGCAAAGCTACAGCTCCCCGCAACCGTCCCAACCTCAGCAGAGCTACAGCTCCCCGCAACCTTCCCAGCCTCAGCAGAGCTACAGCTCCCCTCAGCCAGCCCAGCCTCAGCAGACCTACAGCTCCCCTCAAACCTCCCAACCTCAGCAGAGCTACAGCTCTCCTCAAACCTCCCAGCCTCAGCAGAGCTACAGCTCCCCTCAACTGTCTCAGCCTCAGCAAAGCTACAGCTCCCCACAACCGTCCCAACCTCAGCAGAGCTACAGCTCACCCCAGCCTTCCCAGCCTCAGCAAAGCTACAGCTCCCCTCAGCCAGCCCAGCCTCAGCAGAGCTACAGCTCCCCTCAACCAGCCCAGCCTCAACAGAGCTACAGCTCCCCGCAAGTTCAGAACATTGTCAGCCAGCCGATCAGTCTGCAGCCACAGCCACTGCCGCAGCTCTCCAGCTCTGGCTTCGTTCAGCAGGCGAACCAGGATTACGGAGCTCCTCAGCAGCAGGACATCATCAGCCAGTCACAGGCCAACAGCTTCACTTCGCAGCAAAGCTTTGGCGCCCAACAGACGTTCGGTCAGCAAATTAATAGCGATTACGGTGCTCCGCAGCAGGGAGATGTGATCAGTCAGCCGCAAACAAACAATTTTGCTGCCCAACAGTCGAGCTTTGGTCAACAGGTGAATCAGCAGTACGCGGTTCCTCAGCAGCAAACATTTAGCTCCCAACAGAGCTTTGGCTCTCAATCCAGCTTCAGTCAGCCAATCAACCAAGACTATGGTGCCCCGCAACAGCAGGATATTGTCAATCAGAATCAAGTCAGCAGTCTGGGCTCTCAGCAAGGTTTCAACCAGCAAGCGAATACCAACTACGTTGCACCGCAACAGCAAAGCTTTGGCTCCCAGCAGAGCTTTGGCCAGCAGGTGAACCAGGATTATGGTGCGCCGCAGCAGCAAGACATTGTCAGCCAATTCCAGGCAAACAGCTTCTCTGCTCAGCAAGGCTTTGGTCAGCAGGCGTCTTCTGTGCAGCCGGGCGGCTTTTCAAACCAGTTTGTCGGCTCCACGGCACAGAGTGTTGGCAATGGAGCGTCTTCCTCGGGGCGTCAGCCGGGTCAGGAGTACGGACCTCCCGTCTCCAACGACATCCTCACCGGACCCCTGCCGGCAGGGGTGTCCGTCATCGGCAGCTCCGCCCGGTCACCGTCCTCCTCCCAGCCGCCACGGCAGGGGTACGGACCTCCGGCCGGAGACAGCCTGCTCGGGGGACAGTCCTCTGGCGGGAATCTGCAGAGCTCCACCGCCTCCGCGACACAGACCGTCAACGGCTTCGGTCCTCTCTCAGAGTCCAGCGTCCTGACGGGCCCCGCTCCGGTCACCCAGCCGCTGTTCCAGGCTCAGCAGAACGTCCAAGGGGCCACTTTCGGACAGGGACAAAATACCCAGGCTCAGAGCGCTGTTTCGACGGAAAGCTATCAGGGATACGGTCCCCCGACGGGAAACAGCGTTGTCACTGGCGAGCAGAACTCGTTCGGAGACATCTCGAGTGGCGCTAGCGGCGGTTTCGTGGCGCAGAACCAAGTGCAGGGAGGTCTGTCTGCAGGGGGAAGCTTCAGCGGCAGCTCCAGCCAGGTGCTGGACCAGGGCTTCATCGCCAACCCTGGCGGCGATGGCAGTGTTGTCCAGGACTACCTGCCTCCGACTGGAAACCAGATTGACTCTCCCCTCGGCCAGACCAGTCAGGGCAACAGTCAGATCTTGGACATTGACATCCGCGGCGGGAGTGCCCTGAACGTCCAGCAGACGGCACAGCAGGGCCAGGTACAGCTACAGCAGCAGCAGCAGCAGCAGCAGCAGCAGCAGCAGCAGCTAGGGGAGGTGCTGACGGCCAATCAGCTGCAGCAGGACGTGCAGAGGCCCCAGCAGGACGACATCATCACTGGCACACGTCTGATCCAGGCACAGGGCGAAGGTCAGGCGACTGTCGACAGCGGAGCGCAGGACGTCCAACAGTTTGTGGACGCTCAGCAGCAGGCAGCCTTCGGTGACGCGTTTACCGGTTCTGAGCTCCAACAGGATCAGCAGCAGTACCAGCAGGACACGTCACCAGAGGCTGGAGCCCTGGACGTGCAGCAGTTTGTGCAGAGCCAGCAGCAGGGAGCGTTCACCGACATCCGCACCGGCTCGCAGATGCAGCAGGAGCAGTCGGTGGAGAGTGGAGCCGAAGCTGTGCAGCAGTTCGTCCAGGAACAGCAGCAGTCGGCGTTCGGTGACGGCTCTCAGCAGCAGGAGGTGGAGCAGGCCCTGTTCGGACAGCCCGTCTCGGGCTCCCAGCTGCAGACCTCCTACGACGACCAGGCTGAGCAGCAGCAGAGCCAGATACAGCAGCAGAGCAACGGCGTTCTCATCGACACCACCTCGAACTCCGACGGACAGCAGACGACGTTCGTGAATAGCCAGGAGGGCTCCTTCGACGCCAACGTCATCGGCGGCAGCCAGAGCGCTGTCGGCGGCAACGTGTTTGGTGGGAGCGTCATTAGTGACGGTCAGACTCAGGTGCAGGGATCGTTCGCCGGTGGTTTTATCCAGGGAGACGGCGGCTCACAGCAGAGTCAGGTGTCCCTGGATGGATCTTCCACCGACCAGCAGGACGGCGCTCTGCAGACCGGCTTTGGAGATGTCGTCACCGGTCAGAGCGACAACGGCTTCTCGGCGTCTGATGGCTTCCAGTCGCAGTGAGTAATGCAGTTTTTGTTGCATGAATTTTTAAACGTTTCTTGTCTCGTATTTAAAGAGCTTTTGTAACGTTAACCGTGACAAAATAAAATTGTTTAGTACTTATGTTATTAATGTTAACATTACCATAATTTACTTGCCTCATTTAATATGCAAATTTAGTACTCCGGTCTACTTTATTTGCTCTGTTTTTGATACTTTTGGGTTGTTTCGTGTTTATGAAATATTCCAACCCTCCCTCGACAGTTATTTCATGCATGTAGTAAATTGCACACAAATCTGTCACTCATCAAATGCATATAAATGACAAAATACCTATAGGTAGAACTAGACATATTGTATTAATTAAGCCCGTGAGATGCATTTATCATAGTCATCTTTGTATAATATAGCGTGTTTACTGTTTAATGTTGATTTTATTTTTCGCCAGAGCCACTGATAATGGCGGTTTCACCCAAACCAGCGTGGGCGGTTCCCAAGACGCATCCCAGGTGAGTCTTCCTTTGATTTATCAGCGAGATATTCCCACGTAAGCCTTTACGGGTACCTATCCGTATTCATGCATGCCTCACATACATGCAAGTACAGTACAATTTCTACCGAGTGCCATCTTTTGCCAGAAAACCAAGAGCAACTCATCAAGGCCCAGCCGTCCTGGCTTATACCTACATTGATTACGTAACACAATTAAATCAGCGTTAAACTGTAGAATCGAAACACACATTGAAACAAATGACTTTTTAATGAACACTTCTCCTTTCTACAGCTGTTCACCAGTTTCGTTTTCGTTCGGACGTTAGACTTGACTGGTTTTCCCAGACGTGCATTGGAGCGGGGAAGAGTAACTTGGGAGCTGATGGGAACTTTAATGACAAGAGACAGCTTGGCGTCATAGAGAACGGCGTGTCGCTTCCTTATCACTGTTACCATTAATAAGGATACGTCATTGTCACGTCACCAGGCTAGCGTCGTTTCTTCAGCAATGTCGCAATGCTTACCTACCTAAAATTATACAGGACGACCGGCATTCGGTTTAATTTTCGTAACGGCTGATATAGGTACCTACACTGTACCCTCCCTAATCTCATTGCATTTTAGCTAGGTAATCGTCAAAATAGGTATGACTCGTTTCTTGGAACCAATAATTAAAAATAAAATACTTTATGAATTTGTATCCTTGTCTCTGCAGCAGACTCTCAGATCAGCCTTGCAGTTGCAAACTCTCACCTCGGCTTATTTGCAGTTGAATGACTACCGGCTCATTAAGTAGCGTACTTCTGCTTTCCGTCGCTGGCATGCTGGGATTCAGAGATCCATAGAGCGTGACATTCTTCCATGCACCAGTGGCTAATTAAACATGTGCGGTAGATTTCAGCAGTCTCGCGGTAGTGACCACGGTTTCCCACCGGTAACAATCCACCCTCAACAGTAACAGTCCACCGTGGTCGTGGCAGACTGTCCCCGGCTGCGCCGAAACGCCTTAGGCTAGCGGCGAAATCGTCATGCGATAAGCAAAGAGGCGTTCGCCGCAGCTATGCCAATCATCGGAGACGTTTCAAGTCTTTTGGTTTACCTGAGGAACCTCAGAGAATGGAGGTTAGGGCTGCTAAGAATGTATTAATTAATGTTTAATGTAGTCGACGCTACCCGAGACACTATCACTCATTTATAATCTCTCATATAATCTCTCTCATCTCATACATAATCTCTTTCTTTTGAGCTGTACTAATCCCAGCTTGGAACATAATCAACCGTCCCTCGGTGTCAATTCCTATTGAGACACAGCTCACCTCAGGTTTCCCAAGGCGCTTCGAGGAGTTTCGGGCACCAGGCGCACGTCACCCCACGATGAGAGCTTGTCGATCACAATTACGTAATTCACAGCCCAGTCTGTTACCGGGCAGTACCTACTCATCGTATACTCAGTGTAAGCGGTTCACCCGGGTGCCTCGCCCAAGAAAACAGCAGGCACATTCTCTTGCTAGATTAACAGGTGTCGAGGAGAGATTCCCTGTAAAATTACCGACTGGAGTGACATGCCATCACGCTCAGTTTAATGCCGTGTCGCGGGCGGTCGGGTTTTCACGGCCGCCAGAGCCTAGTAGCGAGCGGAAATACAGAAACGGTGTGAAACGTGCTTTAGTAAGTCATGCAGATAAATGGTTGGCTCGGATTGCGGGAACTGGTGCGGTGCTAAGCCTCGTTTCTTTCGTATCATGGAGGTAACTGCGAACGACTTGTGGAAAATGTGAAAATCCTGTAATAGTCTGGAAGTTTCCCGAGCGGCTCTCGTTCTCGTTATCACCTCTCTGCATACGGATGATAAAAAGTGACGTTGGATGTAAGTCTCAACCAGATGCGATCGTATTGTTGGCTGTTTGAGTTATGTTGTAAGGAACAGTTGTTCTTTAGACATCCTGAGGTGCCATCGTTGGGGATATAATTGCAGTTTATTTCGTCATAAGCAATGAAACATTTTAGGCACATTAGTTAACTTTAGTCTTTTTCAGTGCACTTTGTAGATCTTCCTATGGGGCTACACCTTCCTGGTCTTGTGACCTCATTTACTACGACATTAAAACGATAAAAATAGTTTCTAGCTACCCACCTAAGCATTTCTTGCCACCTGTTCCATTCTTTTCCAGCAGACGGTTATCAGCGACGGCGGATTTGTCAGCGACCAGACTTTCACCTCCTCCGATGGCTCTTCGGGTCTGGACGTGCGGGCCCAGGGTCAGCTGCTGACCTCGGTCAGCGACCAGGGTCAGCTGCTGACCTCGGTCAGTGACCAGGGTCAGCAGGAGGAGCCGTACGACTACTCGGCGCCGGCCAGCCAGTTCCAGGAGGGACAGCAGCAGACCAGGTGGGCGATCCGTTCGACCTGCTCATACCCTGCTCTCTGTGACTGTCAGTTGGTAGTTGAGGCTGAAGAGCATGCTTAGTTTACTAACCGCCTATATCTGTAGTGCAAATGTGACCTTTGCGGCATGACCTTTCGTATGCTTAGGGCTTTGTGACGTCCGTTTTTTTTCAATGCGTAACAAATAACTCTCGCCTCTCTTGTACCGTATCATGTAATCTTTGCTAATTTTGTTAGACCCCTTCTGCTAGCGCATGAAAATGTTAACATTATTTCTCCTTAAGTGCTAGTTCGGAGTGGCTTTTGCATTTCTGTCCGTCCATGTAGTTGCCATATTGTAGAGTTGAAATGTCGATACAAATGTGATGCTTGATCTCCGTGTGCTGTCTTAGCCTAGTGGTGCTTGCCTACTAACTGTTACGTACCGAGAGTGACTGCTAACTGCCGACGCGCCTATAATACTGACTGACGTGACGGTATGCTCCCGCCAGCGTTGAGATCTACGACTTCGAACTCAACTGGCCGAAGCTCGGTGCCAAGGTGGCCTCAGCTCCCGTCCCTTCCCTCTCCAGCTCCCTCCGCACCCCGCCCCTGCCCCGCCCGCCCTCTCCCTCCTCCGCGCTACCGCCGCGACTCGCCGACTCGCCGAGGTCACCGTCACACTCCCCAGGGCGCAGCACCATCACCGTGTCCCTGGACGTCGGAGACATCCTGAAGCGTACCAAGTCGCCATCGGCAGACCTCAGCCGCAGCTCTGTGCTGCGTTTCACCACCCGGGTGCGCTCCACCATCCTGCCGCACGTCTCGAGCCGGCTGGCGGCGGCTCTGACCTCTCGGCACAGCTCGGCGATGGCTTCTCTGCGAGCCGCCGCCTCCGCGGAGGTCGGGACACCCTCGTCAGGCGGCGCTACCGGAGTCAGTAGGTGGCGCACCGTGCTGCGAGCCAGCGTCCGGCTCACGGCGGCTGACGGGTCCGCCGTCAGGCCGACAGAGACGGTACGACTGCACCTCAGCCCGCCCGTGCCCCTGGAGAAGTTCCGAGTACGGGTCAGACGACCAGGGCGGCTTCAGAGAGCAGAAGAGCCTGCTGGGGACAAGGAGAAGCTTGCTGATGAGCTGGCTGGACCATTTGGAAGGAGGAAAACTGTTGCGAACAGGAGAGAAAAACTGAGAGCCAGAAGGCCAAAGGGTGTATCAGAAAACGTGCGAATGAGACCGGATGGAGGACATAGTTCAAGGCTCGTTACAGAAACTAGTCAAGAAGGCAGCTCGGAGAGCCATGTAAATAGCGTAACTCGCAAGCATAAGTCTAAAGGACCTACAATTAAACCCTTGGATGCCCGAAGGCCTAGCAGCTTGACGCGAAATTCGATCGGCAGACCAGGGAAGTTTGTGTGGCCAGGAACTGGAGCCGGTAACGAGCAGAATAACGCCAAGCCGACGTTAGGACAGGCCGTCAAAGGTGAGCAATCCAAGGAAATAGCGATGTCGCAGAGCTCAAACCATGTCGCAGACTTCCAGCTACCCCTGGGATACCTCCCACCCGATCCTGAAGAAATCCTAAATGAAGCGACGAATTTTATCGAGCCGACAGAAGGTCAATCGGATCTGGAGGACCCCGCTCAACCAGAAACTCTGCCGATCATCTCCACAAAAACACCTGAGATTGATGTCAGACTTGAGTCAACAACAATCGCAAGTGCGGATGCCAGCAGGGACTACCTTCCACCACTAGAAGACGATGAAGGCCCATCAAATTCAGAGATCGAGGCTAATGTGGAAGGACAATCAAAACCATTAACGTCAAGTGCTTCTCCAGCGAATCCAGAATCAAATGTAGCCGATCCCCCGATATCGAGTTCAGACAAAGATGTACGGTTCAGGGAGGAAATGGGAGTGTACGAATATCTTGAGCCACCACCTCTAGCGGCTCCCACACAGGAAAGCACCAGAGTCTCGAAAGAGCCAACAAGGTACAATAAAAATGTTCAAACGGAAAAGCTACAAGTCAGCCTGAACGATAAATCACAAATGACAGATGACCCTGCTGAAAGTATTGGCAACAGCTTTCAGACAAACAAGACTGCAGCGAAAGAAAGCGTCAGAAAGAATAAGGTAAAATTGAGCAGCATTTTGAGGCAAAGCTTTGGTACCACCACGGCTGAGATAAGCACTCCGAATATTGCCTTCAACTATCTGCCCCCAGACCCAGCTACAACGCCGTTCACAGCCCCTGATCTGGAGAAAGATGTTACAGTAGACGTTGGACTTGGCGATAGTGACGTGACTACTACTCCAGTTCCTGCCCTAGATGAGCCAGCAGACACTACCCAGCTAACAACCAGCAGTCCGGAAGAATCGCCGACCGGATTACACTCAGCAAGTTCCACTGACAAATTCAAAGTCACTACCAACCTCCCTGTAACCAGCTACCTTCCTGTGCCCTCGTCCGTGGATCCGCTTTCAAACTCCGTTACGGAAGAACCACTTCTCAACATATTTGCTGCGAGTGCCCCGGCACCTGAGTCCAGCTCCCCAGAATCTGAATCTGATGTAGATTCCCCAACGTATTTCCGTCCGGAGGCTACTGTCGCGCCGTCGTATCTATCTTCAACCACCGAGGCCCTGCAGGGACATATATCTACCACTGGCGCTAGCAGTGCTGCAGAAGGATCTCCTTCTACCATCTCCTCATCTTTGATGTCCGATACACAGACAACCACAACATCTCCATTCGAGTATCTTCCTCCTCTTCCGGCATCAACACAGGAAGCAGATGTAGCGTCACCGACTTTATCTGTGTTTGTCTCCACTGCAGACGTCATTTCAGCTAAAGACAGCGAAAACCCAGAAGTGGTTGGAGACTCAGAACCGTCTGCCACTCCCCCCACCATTGGCACCTATTCAACAACAGCACTTAGCGCAGAAACTATCACTACGTCAGCTCCTGTTGTTGGCACCAATCGCCCGGCTGTGCAGATCGTGACGCCATCCCTGGTCCTGCCGTACCTGGCTCCAGAAGACGACGCTGCTGGGGTAATGCAGACTACACCCACGATATCTTCGACTCGTGACAACACTAAGGCTCAGGAGAACATCGTTGAGGACACTGGCTCTAGACTGCCCCCAACAGAAGCAGCTTCTTCATCTAAGACGCCGTCTACTGGATTCAGTTTCAAGAAGCGTCAACCGGGATGGTATGGTGTTTTGACAACACCTGCGCCACAAACAAATGAGGTCGAGAATGCAAACGAGGTCACCTCGTCATCTCTTCCGGCATCGAAATACGTCTACCCTTCTGATAGTTCATCACGAGTAGTATCACCACACACCACCATCAACAGCACCTACTTCCCCGCTGAGACCACCGTGAGTCCCATTCCAGGCACCACGGCCAATTCAGTGCTCGGAGTCCTCCGATTAGCCAATGGTGGGTCCTCCACGGGTCAGCGTCCCGTAGTCAACGTGAGACCTTGGGCACATCAGCAGCAGACTCTGAAGACGGTGACGCCGAGATCGGTGTTCACGCGGCGCAGGCCTCCCGGACTTCCCCGGAGGACCAGAGCGAGCACTACCTCCGCGCCGCTAACCGAAGACAGTGCCGCAGATAACAGGGTTGTGACCGAGGAGAAGAAGGGGAAACGAAAAGTCGACGACATTAGGTCAAGAATAAGGGGTCGATATCAGCGGCGACGAAATAGATTGCGAACTTCAGACGAAGAAAAAGCGGCATCTTCGAAAGAATTGGATGAGGCAGAGACGAAAAGGGTAGAAGTGCTAGTTGGTAGCGAAAACCAGACCCGAAGCGATGATATTAATGCCACGAGACAAAACCCGTATGCAAGACGCCGAACTCGCTTTAGGTCTCAGCAGCGCGTCATTGCTTCCTTGGCGTCAAAGATAGAAAATGCAACAGCTGTTGAGAAAACAAATGTTTCGGATGATGTTCCTCCCTCGCGACAGAATAGACACCACAGAAGGATACCAACGAGAGGAGACAAAGCAAAATCTGTTCCAGTAAGAGCAAAGGCAGCAAGCACGTTGAATAGGACTGTTACAAAACAAAAAGACCCAAGTAACAACTCAAGCCGAATCATCTCTCCGTACAAACGGAGAAAGTCTCGTTTCAGGTATAGATCTAGAACTACAGAAATACCTGTGCATTCAGACCCTAAAGCAAGTACAGAGGTATCAAACAGTCTAAGCAATACAAGAACGCGAAGCAGTGCCGCAAGTAGAAGATTTGTCCGTCCAAAGTCTACAGCTGCTCCTGAAATAGAACAGAACGGCGAAGAAGACTTGACGGAAGACAAAAAAGAAAACGCAGACAACGATGCAAATGTAATTTCTCAACCAAACGAAGAAAACAATCTGTTGGAGAAACGACCAGAGTCTAACACAGTGTTTGCTTCTGTTAAACGAAGGTTCAGACCACGGTTTCCTAGCAGAAGGCTTATCACGAAGTCCCCAAAGACTTATTCCACAGCACCTGACCGTGACCGTCCCACAAGACGGTTGTCGTCTTTGGTATTCCCTAGGTACCAAAAAGAGAAGAAGCCGTCAGACGCCTTGGAAACCTCCGACTCTTTGGAAGAAACTGTCGAAACACTTAAAGCCGAGGCATTAAAAGACGTTGAAGAAGCTCCCACCTCATTACGAAATTCCAGTGCATCGACGAAGTCTTCAGCAGACCAAAATAGCATAGAATCTCTCGAGACGTCTACAACGGCGTCTACAACAGCCATCGTCTCTTCATCCACCCCTACCCCTTCTCCTGAACCCTCCTCGTCCTCTTCACCATCCAGTCGACACCGATCCCGCCTGAGGCTACCCTGGCGGTCGCGGCAGACGGTCAGCACCGAGAGACCGTCGGAGCGCACACGACACCGGGTGCGGTGGTTCCGTCACCTGCCTCCGGACCAGCCGTGACGTGCCGTGACGCGCCGTGACGCGTCATCCCGACAGGTGGACTGACCGACGCTCCTCAGTGTGACGCACTGCGGGTGTGACTGACCGGGGATTGTGCTTCTTGGAGGTGTTGTGACCGGGCGGACGTGACGGGATGCACTCACTAAGCACGTTGTGGATGGGTTGCTCCCACTGCATGATTTACACTGCCTTCCACAGGTTACCGGCGGCTGATGTGTGACATGAATAATGACTCTGACAGTGATATGTCAGCACCGGGCACATACCTACTGATGCTACATGTTTTGGGAACACCACTACAAAATGTTGATGGAACACGTTGTGCACTCACGCTGCATCATTCACTTGAATGTGCCTGTTCACAAGGTTGCATTGCCCTTCAATGTCCTTACAATGTGGTCCTCCATTTCAGCGTCATCCAAGACAGTTTTGGAAACGTCCAGCAAACTTTCGAAGGCGACAGCTCCGGAGTGACTGGTGAGATCATATCACCTGGATTCGAAGAATCCAGCACAGGAGACTTCGATGCCAATGCGGGCGGTGGTGAGACTATTTCTTCGGAGAATGAGATCACCTCATTCGCCGGAGAGGTCACAGACGCGGGCGTTACTACAGACGGTGAGATCAGCTCACCGGGTAGTGAGGACATTTCATCCAGCAATGACATCACTGCCTCTGACTACGAGGCGTTCTCAACAGGCGGAGACGTCGACGGCACCTTCGTGGATGACAACACGGCTCCCGGGGTCCTGGTCGGTGGATCAGCCACCGACTCCAGCTCAACCTCAACATCCGTTTCAGATTTCAGCTCCAGCTCCGAAACCGGCCTGGATGTCACAGGGGGTAGCTCGTCGACAGATGAGGTCGACGACTTCGACAGCAGCGTAGCGCCGTTGACGGAGGCGCTGCCAGCGCTTGCAGCCTACGGGTCGTCCGCTGACCGTCTTTCAGAGAGCACCTCGCCTGCTGAGGAAGCAGCTGCGGTCAGCACGTCTTCTGTGGAGTCGGCAGAGGTCGCCATCCAGGTGACCGACTCCGGTGTGTCAGAGACTACCTCCGAGGTGGCGGACGCTCCGGCGGTCGGCTCGGCGGCCTCCGCGGTCGGCTCGTTCGTGGACGGGACCACCGAGGAGGCGCTGGTGGAGGTAGTGGAGGACCCGGTGGTGACTGAACAGGTGCCTCTGCTCGGAGAAGAGGAAACCACGTCCGAGGCAGCCCCAGTCGCAGGGGAGACGCAGGAGCAGCAAGAGGTCCAGCCGCAGCCTTCCGAGTACCTGCCGCCGCCGACAGATGCCCCAGCGCCCGACTTCGACGTTCGCGCCATTCTACAGCAGGTATTTCAGGTCGCTCCTGATTAACATGCGCCGGCCGACAACGCTTTCGCTTCGACTTACTCACGCGACTGAACAACCGGTTGAGCAGACCATAACGCATTCGACCGGCGACAGCAGCTCCTGCCATCGCATTCTGACGACTAGCAGTGGTGATCTAGCGGTCTTCAACACTTTGTAGAATCGTCGGCATGTCTCTTCAACAAACAAGACTTTTGCAGATAACGGCGTAGTAGTGCTTGAACAACCCGTAGTCCTCTTAGCCTGAATATAAAATACATTAGTAGTATTTGCACATATTCTTAAAACATTTAACTATATTGTTCGTTTTCTTCTTAACCGTAAAAGTTGCACTGATGCTAAAGCATGACTTTCAATGCCTTACATAGTACTTATTTCTCATTAGCTTAATTTTATCTGTAAGCTATAGCATAAGTCTACTCATTAGACTTACCTATGACCCCGGTTAAATGCGTGTATGTATGTATGTTGTGCTGCTAACGTCACCTTTACGCTGTGAACTGTGGCTACCAACCGCGCTTGATTGACCATGATTGACGTTAACCAGTCGCACTGAACCTAACTGACTCAAATAATTACAGAGTAATCTTCAGGAACCCCATGTAAGCCTGCATGCTACTGACCAACTTCCATCACTTTGTTACATTCTTCACTTTTATCTGTGCTTTGCATCCCGCTCACGCTGTTAAACTGCACCTGCCGTATCACCTCAGCTGCCTGCATCCGTAAACTGCATGTCTGCTTCGCAGGACTGGCGAGCTCGCGCGTCACGACCTACCGACCCCGTACTGACCTGTGGGACGCCGGCCGACGTGACGCCAACTCGGACTCGTGGACCTCTAACTCCGGTCTTCCATCACTCCCCACTGCCTTGGGCCTCTCCGCACCATCCGACTTCTCCGAAGTCAGGAGTTTTCCACCTGCCGAGCTCTCACTTACGTCTGCCCTCCTGTCCTCGTCCGATGACCTCGAAGATGATTTTCCTCTCTTGTTCGCCGACCCTGACGAAGCCAATGAGATCGAGACTGACATGACCAGTCCGTTTGGGAAACCGGCTGATGTTGATCCCGCATCATTCGGTGTGACGCCTCCGGCCAAGTTCCTTGACCTTATGCTCATGACGACCAGGCTGTTGGACGCTGAGGCGGACCGGTTACCAGACGGTCTGCATATCAGCGACCAGGAAACATCAGAGGCGGCCACACAGGCTCCAGCAATCCCGCTGGACGTTACAGCGAGAACAGCTGACCTCACAGCAGACATGATGATCAAGGCGATGCAAGTGGCCGAGGTTCGGAAACTGGGTCGGAAGAACATGCTAGAAACAATAGATGTTCCAGAAGAATCCACACGTCGGAGGGCGAACGGAGAAGTGGCTTTTGGAGAAGCCTCTCAGCCGGTCAGTACCTTTGTGGTGGCACAAAATGACAGTGAGGAAAAGCAGCCTGGAGGAGGTGCCTTGGATGGGTTGTCTCTAGCTACCAGATTGAGGTTAAGGACTGCACTAGAGGCGCTGGCAAAGCTGGATTCCGAGCTGGAAAATAACGACAAGGGTGACAAAATAGGCAAAACTGCAGATGACTCCGTCAAAACGTCAGATTTTGAGACTGCCGCTGGTGAAGGGGGAGATGACGTTGACGATAAAATCACCGAGGCAGAGGCAAACGTAAGCCGTCAACCAGATAACGCGACTTCCCCGCTGCCACCACAGATCAGGAACATGGTGCAAATAATACAGGAAATTCTGCCAGAATTTCAGAACATCACTCAAAAGACCCGAGAGTCGCTTATAAATATGATGATGGAAAAGATTAACAGCAACTCAGCCGACGAAGGCAGCCCTTTCCGTTCATCCAATAAAATCGAAAGCAGCGACGATTTTAGTGATCAAGTAGAGTTATTAAAATTAAAAGTTTCTAACTCGACGTCTGCAGCACCCCGGTCCAAAACAACTTCAGCATTGTCCAGTCAACTTCAAGCTATTTCGAAATTCCCAGATAATTCAACCGATGAGATTTCCATCCCTGAAAACATTTTACGTCTAAACGAAACCGTTGAAAAGCCTGAAGTAGAAACTCAGATCAACAAACCTCAGGCAGTGCTTACAGACCTAATATCGGATAACAGACGTCCCAGCATGAGGCTGAGCGACATGATAAGCGAAGCTGATCGAAATCGCACTAAGCCTTCCAATCAAGAAAGGTTTTCAGCCAGCTCCAGCATAAGCCAGTTAAACCTTACAAACAGCCCTCCGGAGTCGTTCGAAGTTCTAACCAATGCTCTTCGAAATTTCACCGTAACAAATCCGGTTGAAGCACCCCTCACGCTAGCAGATATCAAAGGACTGGCCGAAACACCTATTGATAGTGAGGAATCTATGAAAAGCCAAAATATAGTCCAACTACTGTCATCAATTCCTCTTGCCGTGGTAGTAAAACTGGAACAAATACCTGCCGTGATGTCAGCGATCCTGAACATCATGAATCGTGAGATGGTATCTACCACAACACCGGGGAGTAAAGCGGCGAATGCGACAGCTTCACCTTTGCCCGTCTTACCACTTCAGGTGCGTTCAAACGTAAGCATGCCAGCTGAGTCCATGGCTCTGTCAGAATTGTTGCGCAGGGTTGAAAAGGAGTTAAAAGAAGAGCAGGGAGCGGAAAGCAGAACTGCAAAAACCCGTGACCAGCGAATCGAAGACGGTGTGCAATCGTCGAGTTCCTCGCGGCCACTTTTCGAGCGCCTGAGGAGACCAGAGGCAACAGCCCGATCTCCCGAACCTGGCCAAACACGACAGAGAGTTGGCACATCTCTAGCGGATGCCCTGAGACGCATCACTCTCCAGTCCCACAACCGTGGCTCCTCGGCCAGTCGGCCTGGCCCGGGAAGGAGAACGGCTGCCAGACTGTCTTTCAGAGGGCGGACAATTTTTGACGCCGTCTCACAGAGACGGACGTCCTCAGGCACCACGCCAAGAGCAATCAGATCCCCACTAAGAAAACCTATCCGAGCCGGGGCCCAAGTGTTGTCCGCTTTTAATGGACAGAACTTTTCTCGTGCTCGGATTCCTGAAAATGTCGCTGAGAGAACGATGACTGCCAGAGCTAATACCAGGGAGGTTGGTCGCCTTGCCTTTAGGAAACGACCTCTCAGACAAGAAGTGTCTCCTCGCCAGTCACCTTTACCGTTGAAAACCACTTCTTCCTCTGCGAACCCAATACGGGCAGCCCAAGGTCTTCAGCAACTTGTAAATCCCACTCGCGGAGCTACGTCTACGCTGACGAGCAGGCCATCTGCGATTTCTTTACAGTCAATGCAGGCTCTTGGAAAACCAGTGAGAGCCTCAGAGCCCAACGTAAGGACCAACCAATCAACCACGGATGACATCACAGAGATTCTCTCTGTCCTAGGGATGATCCCTACAGAGGGTTTACCGACCTCGTTCCGAAGAACAGCTCAGCTACCAATCAAGTCCACTTCTCAGCGGGCCGGCTTTGAGCTCCCAGTTGCGAGTCAAATAATGTCTGCTGCAAATGACGTTCGCCCAGTGTTGTTGCTTTCACAATTGGCTGCTTCAGTACAGGGAAGAAAGGAACTCAGAAGAGTAGTTGATGAGGTTTTAACTTCGGAAACATCATCAAATGCTAGACCACTTATTCCCGCTCAAAGAACAATGCCCTCTGGATCATTTGCTTCAGTACAGCAACCAATGCCCCCTGAAGGAAATGGCGCTATTAGAATGGAGGCACTAGGATCTTCGTCCGGAAATGGGACCAGGAATGTAAAAGGTCTGAACAGCAATGTCGGCGGTAATGTGATGTCCTTGTCCGAACAGCTTCGACTGAGAACGCTTCAAGAGATAGCCACCCAGAACAAGGCGGATAATATGTCACCGTCTTCAACCACACCAAAAGTATCGATCGATTTGGTTCGACCGAAAAATTTGGGTATGCGCAAAGAGCTGTCCGCTAAGGAGAAAATGTTGGCAGATTGGAAAGAACAGCTGCGTCAGCGGATTGCCGTGAAGTTGGTGCTTAAGAACGAGCCTGAGGATGAAAGGCTTTCCATGCCGCTTCCGAATCCTTCGGCGCCCAGCGCCGGTAATAAACCGAAGCCACCTGTGATATCTCACATGAACGGTGAGTTAGACGTCCTAAAAGAATTTCTCAGGCAAAAGGTTGCAAGACGACCTCCAAAGAGCAACAATGTTCAAGAGGAAGATGCTGCTTTAAATGCCCCTGAGACACTGAATGAAGCAGGGCAAGAGAAAACAGATCCCAATATCTCGCTTGGAGGCCGTCTCTTTCTGATGTTGAATCAAGAACGGATGAATCAGAATAATGCAATGACGAATGAAGCACTTGGACAAAGCGTGAATTCTGCCAGGCCGTCAAGTTCATCGACAACAAACTTGCGAGAAGCTGACATTGCAACTGCTGCAAGACAAGCCATAGCAACTTCTAACTCGCAACGAATCTCAGCCGGTGCTGCATCCCCGAAATTAAGAATGCATAAGATATCACAAAATGGCAAGGAGCAGCTGGGACCTCGAATGCCCAAGGAGATCTTTAGCAGGGATATCCCATTCCCTGTGGAGACGATCACTTCCCAGTTACAAAGGCTAACTATCCCTCATCAGCAGCCCCAGTTCAATGCACCGGCCTTCAAAGGTTCGGCGACTCAGCCCCAGGAACCGCAAGAGTTCTTCGATAGGTGGCGACAGCTGTTGACTATTACAGCAACCTCCGGAGGTGGAGAGTTGGCTTCAGCTACAGCTGCTTCAAAGGCAGCAAATGCGACGGATACGGTGCGCACCTCACAAAGGGCTGCCGAGGCAACATCCGGTATCACCCGATCGTCGGTTCCCAGTCTGTCTGTGAGAGAGTTTACCTTTAGGTCCCCAGAGAGCACTACCACGCGGAGTCCGCTCTGGCCTGCAAGTGACGGAACTGCACAGAAATCTTTCCCTCGAGATCGGTTCAGGTCATCATCCAAACGCAAACCATCGACGTCGCCTTCATCTCAAAACCAGGCAAACTCAGAAACACTAGTGATACCCAATGGTGCCACCACTGAATTTCCCAGTGATGACACAAATGATGCTTCTAAAGCTGACACAGCTTCAGACAGAGATGAAGACGATGGTGACCTGTCTCTAGCGGACACTGAGCGTCGCGAGTGGCTGTGGAGCTTGTCCCCTCGCAGAGCACACACGGGCCGGCCCGGCTGGCGATGGCCGTTGGACTCGGCTCGTCTGCTCCCGCCGCGACAGGACAGAGAGAACCCCTCCTCCGTCCTCAAACCCCGCTCAGAGGTTACCAGGAGACACCTTCTGCCCTCCCGAACCCAGACTGGAACACATGGGGGAGCGACAAGTGGACCGGGAAGGCCTGGCGGCTCCCGACACCAGCCGGGTCGGTCGACAGCGATCTCGGGCCGTTCGGACAGGGTCGGCGACTCTCCCGTCCTGCCATCCCGACACCAGCAGTTCCACGTCCTTGACCGACCGTACGACTTCACTGACCGGTCGCCAGACAGAGCGTACCCCGTTGTGTATATACAGGGCTTTGGCTGATGACCTGGACGAGGTAATTCGAGACGGACTATGGACGTGACTTTGACAATGATCAAGTCGTGACTTGGCAGTAAATCAAATGTTACAATATTTTCCCTCATACTTTTCCAATGACTTTTGCCCTAGACGAAATAAACTGAGCGCTAAATGTTGTCGATTGCATAATCTGCTCCCTTATTTGTGTATTAAACTATTGGTTGTTTACTACGAGTAAGAATCCTCCCTCGCCTCGCTGTGTTCACCCCGCTTGTGCTTCCTTTGTTATTCGTCTAACTCTAATCCTGTGTCTCCAGCGTCGTAGGAGGCTCGCTCTGAGGCGAGGGCGAACGTGGGGCTAGCTGGCCACCTCTGAAGACGGTGGCACTATCGTCCCGGTGTCTTCCGGCGGGCTCGAGCGCTCGCACTAGTCCGCTCGAGACTCCGCCAGCAAGCCGAGAGCGACCATCGGACGAGAAATATCGGTCGGGCTCAACATGCGGACTCCTCTGTGTGGGATGTACAAACTGTTCGCTGAACGTGTGCGAAACTGGCAGCGAGAGAGGTCGAGAGAGGTCGTGAGAGTGACTTGAAGCGGTAGAGGATCTAGTGATGTCGGGAGTGGAGGATTGGAGGCGTGGTTAGATTGTCCCGGATTTGTCGAGGAATCCTCAGTCAGATGGAATCGTTAATCAAAGCATTCCTTGTCCGTTGCTTTCTTGGGTTACCAGTTGTGTAGACTTCACATATTGTTATTTTATATTGACTTCTGTGTGAGCCATACCCGTGTGAATACAACGAATATAATATTCGCTACTAAGCTTGGATGTGTTATGCGGTAATGCTGGGTTTTTGCGGCAATGAGGACAACTTATCGGCACAAGAAGAAATCTTTAGGTTTTCCGAAAATGACAATTTAACAACATATTTTCAGTACCTACATATATTTCAATCTTCGTCCTAGTTCAAGCTCCGACAACATTTTAATCCTGAAACAATACCTACCTAACTAATGCAAATGTGGAAACCACTAGGTCAATAACAAGCCAGCAATCGCAACATGCAACAATACGGTATGTGTACTGGACGAACAGTTAATGTAAATAACTAAAACGTTAAAACGTATACAGCCACCTTGCCTGACTCCTGAGATCTAGTTGAAAAACAACTGGCGTAAACATAAATAAATAAGCGTTAGGTGCAAACAAAACAAGGCTGAATCATCTATCTGACCTCGGTAAAGCCTTCTTTACAAGATATGGCCTCGGTAAAGCCGGTCTTAATTACCAAGAAGTGCATCCATGTCAGTAGATACAATAGACTGTTGGCCTGAGCGTTTTACTAGCAATATCTTTCCCCAATTTCTCTGCCATGGCGTGTCGAAGACTCGCTTCTAACTAGAGTTTCAACCGACATCCCTCTTATGATGCCACCACACGCGACATTCCTTCGAAGAATAATATTCCCGCTGACCTCTCGCGTCTTAGGGTGACGCCGCGCTGACCTCCCGTCTCACAGTGGCGGCCCCGCTGACCTCCCGTCTCACAGCGAGGTAAGACGAAGGACTCCGGAGGCGGGCGTCTCCATCAGCAGCTTCCCCAGGCCCTTCAGGCCACCGACCAGCACGTTCTTCTCGCCGACCATCAGCCACTCGGAGAGCAGCGCCGGCCAGAATCGGAGCGGCGCCGTCAGCGCGTGACTCAGACGGTGAGAGAACGAGGCGTAGTTGGAAGCGAGCACGCCGTCCACCAGCAGAGTACCGTGCTCCGTCAGAGGCACGAACGCGCCTGGGGAATGGTGAGGGGCGTTATGACGCGTAAGAGACTGGGGGACGGTGGGGCAGCATGTCACGACACAGAAAAATAATGCAGCTAATAAATGCACACAAGCCTTCATATCAATGACACAACTTGTCTCGAGCAGAAACGGCAGTAGAAGCCAGGTTGGGGCTGGACTCACCGGCCATAATCTGGTATGTAATATTGCTGACGGCGCTGTAGACGGCCGTCCCGTTCCCCGCCTCCGTCAGCAGTTCATCACCCACTCGCAGCTCGCTGGCGAACAGGCCCTCGGGCCGCCGCCGCGCGAACGTCACGTGGTTGGCCGAGAGCCGCAGCAGGTGGCCGGAGACCAGCTGCACGTGCAGGTACTCCCCGGCGGCGGAAGGTCGGCGGTCCAGAAAACCCAGCACCGTGGTTGGCACCAGAGATCCGCTGGCGTCCACTGTGGATAGAGATGTTAGAGTTCAAAGCACTGATGTAAATACAGCTGGAGATTCATGTATCTCATTTTTAGAGAATCGCCAACCAAATTATTCATATGTTTTACTATAAATTTATTCTCCGGCGTTCTATTGCATTACGTTTAAGCGTTGCGACACTTTCCAAATTTGTAATACGTGCAGTTTTAATCAAGACAATAGTTATTTCTTGATTGCCTTGTCACTTATTTCGACGATAAATATTAGCCCACTCAGCGCGTAACCTTAGCGCTTATCCCCAATATAGGTACTCGTACCCGCCTACAGCTACAGCAATATCGTTTCCGCTCGGCGGGAGGTCCCAGCGGTGCGCCATTTTTGGCACTCGTTCGCCACTAACGAACCGCCCCGGATTAGCCTCTCGGCGGTGTCCGCTATACTGACCGGTCAGGACGCGGTCTCCGGCGGTCAGCTGCGCCATGCCGCGGCGGCGACCGTCGGGTAGCAGCGCGCCGGCCGCCGCCGGGAAGCAGGATCCCCACTGGCAGTCGCAGCAGAAGGTGGCGTGCGTCTTGGGGCTGTAGCACGTGCACTCGCCGCGCTCCTCGCACAGCCGCTGCATCCTCCAGCGCTGCGGGCGGCTGTGCTTCTGCGGGCGAGACAATCGAGCTGACCTCGCACCGGGTGGTCCCGAGAAATACACGTAGTAGCCAACTAATAGCTATTATTACATAGGAGGTAGCACACAGATAAATGCAAAAACATCGATGTGGTGTGGTCAGCAGAATCACCAGTAGCCTGTTCTTCCGATTTCACGGCGTCACTAAATGGACTTGGTCAATGGTCATCACCAATGAATTTGGTAGAAAGAGCGCTGCGCTGCTCCTTGGAAATAATTCAGCTTGTTTCTCATTCAGTGGGGTGAATACCACTGAATACCACTGAATAACAAATTTGTCATTGATACCTTCCCTACTGCAGTGCTGGTTATCCCTCGCCGGCACAGGGGGTTGCGCCGGTTGATGCAACCCCCCCCCCCCTAAGGTTTTTCGCGAATAACTCGCGTAAAAAGCGGCCGAACGCGACGAAACTTTCAGTACCCTCGCATTGATCAATTTTACACGTTCCCTGAAAATTTCATGACCCTGACCCCAATGACCTTTGACCTGTGACCTCTTTTCCGTGACCATGTTTGGTCGAAATCGCGATTCGGCGTATGTCGGCTCGCATTAGCCGCGCGTTTGCAAGCTTTTCGTGGTTTCAAACGTTCAAACATGTGATTTGATGTTGCTCCCATACATTAGGGTGGGTGTCAAGGTCACCTGAAGGTCAGGTCAGGTCATTGACCTTTGGTGACCTCGGGTGACCTCGGTTCACGTTTTCGAGTTTTACATGTTTCTAGGCTAGTTTTTGGAGCTGAATTCGAATTTAGCAACCATTTAAACATTTACGAAGAAGTTTTGGTGCCTTCGTAACATGTTACGAAGCTGCCAGAGGCGGTTGACACGTATTACGAATACCCGTCACGGCCGTCACAACCCCTACCGGTTGACCTGACCTGGCCTGACCCGACCTCGTCTAAATGCTTAAAAACATCATCTCTGATCAAAACTAACACGATATTCGTGATCAGCACCCCGGAAAACCACATAGCAGCCACACTTTACGACTTTCTAACAGGTCCCGATTTTCCCGGTTTTCGGGTCATTGACCTGACCTGGAAGGTCACCCGGTGACCTAGGACCTTAAAATTTGGTATCATCGGCTTTCTCTCGTGACGGGCAACATGCTCGTTTTTTCGCGAAGCTCTAGCTCGATCAGGGGCCAAACGCGAGGGGGGGTCGTACCAACCGCCCCCCCCCCCCTTGTGCCGTCGAAGGACGCAAAATGGCCTGTGCCGGCGAGGGTTATAGCATCAGTAATTGTCCTTAACGAATACTGAGTGACTGACTGAATAGCCCTTGTGACAGATGATTGCAGTAGTTAGGGAAAATTGACAGCAAATGGCACAAAAATAACACCTTTGAGGTGTGTATGCCTTTTCCTAGAAGCCATCAGCAGATGCTAAAGCCTATATGTGTCTATCGTTAAAGGGACCCTCCCACCTTAACATTAGATTTGAGTTGAGATAGCCAAAATGGGGTCCCTAGCTCACAATTACCGGTTTCGGCACTCACAACGTCGAGAAATGCCTTAAATCGGAAATATTGAATTTCAAAATTGCAGCATTTTGATTCAGAGGGGCTAATGCTTAGGAATACCCCTCTGAATGTGTGACGTCAGCGCAAATATCTAACGATTTTTAAATGTTTGACTAAAACGTTTTGTAGCACGCGGTGGTATATGCTACTTGCGCGCAACATCTGCCGCAAACGCCGCACTTCTAAAATAAAGTCGCTAGAAACAGCGGAGATCCCAAAAAAGTAAACAAAAGTAAAAGTTTAATATCTTGAAAACCGGTGAATATTTTTCGGTGAAATTTGGTAGATGTTCGTTTTCGCTCTTTCTGAACCGAGCGACATCACTTTCATGCCAATTCATAAACTTTTTTGAAGGTGGGAGGGTCCCTTTAAATACAGGGTGGGGCAGCATAATCGGGAATGCTTTTTGGGCTCTGATCATGAGTAGGCATGGCATTATTTTTATAAATTATATTATGGCAATGAAACGCCCAAAAGTTGTGCATCATCTGACATGACTACATCCATGAGCATGCAACTTCCTGGAAAAGAGCAGCAAAATAGTTCGACGGTGCTCCAAGTGCTTTGCGCGCGCCCATAGACACTAATGTTAAACAAGTAAAACAAGAACATTTTGTTTAAAACCCTGCAATTCCACGTAAAGGTTGCTGGGCAGGTCAACGTGTTATCACGGACGATAAGGATTGTGTGGGGATACTTAGGACAACAGGTTAACGTAATCGTCGTAAAATAACTCTTAGCAGAGGACATACAAGATGACTCACTTGAATATAAGGAAGAAGCACTTGAGCATATTAAAAAGAAACAATGTTCAAAACTTCAGCGACAAAAAATCTTATCACCGACTGGAATACGATAAAAAAGAATGGCATGCCATATAGGGGATTGTATCGAGAATATTCCAGCGGTCATGCAAAGTAAACATCCTGTTGGGGTGATGGACCTATGGGTGGTCTTCAAGGGAGGTGCACGTGGTGCACCCTACTTCATCGAGCCCGGATAAAATGAGCACCTCTGGTAAATACAACCGCACTCTGGCAGACTCACGTGGAGCCGTCGGAAGAGAGGATCACTGACGGTCCAAATCACGTCTTACGAGGACTCTGTCCGTGCTGGTACTGCAGTGAGGACGACATGTTATTGTGTAGGGCACCTCCACCTGAGATGAACCAAAAACTTCTGGTCCTTCAACTCCGCCGATTTAAATCCGACCAAATTCTTTACATGGAGCGTTTTTTGGTAGAAGTTTAATGAACAACTTATCATCAGTAAAAACAGTCTTCAGTGCAAGGTACGAAGCTGATGGGCGATCATGGACAAGCAGGAGGTTGCACGTGCATGCGCGTGCTTTTGGACCCGCCTTGAGAAGGTCATCGACGCCGAGGGCGGTCAAATAGGATGAGGGATAGGTAAAAGGTGACCGATTGATAGGATGTTGCTAAAATAGTGCTTGGAGCTATATTTTTAGATTCATGACCAAATAATCCCGTTTGATATTTATTCCCGATTATGCTGCCCCACCCTGTATGTATCAATGATGTTTGTTTTGAATAGGTTCGCAGAAAAAAAGGCAGGTAAAGAATCCATGTAATATCAAGAGGAACGCGGTGGTGACCGTTTGTCCACCGGGCCGTGCCAACCCTGCCTACATGCGATCATCACTTCGGCTTGGCTAGCCCTGGTTAGGGAGCCGCCCGGCAAAGTTAACAGTTTAACTTCAGAGGTGTGATGCGGCACAGTCTGCCTACCAGTCAGAGGTTAAATGCGATACAGCCTACCTGCCAGGAGAGGTGTAATGCCGAATGCGGTACAGTCTACCTACCAGCCAAAGCTGTCATGCGGTACAGCCTACCTACCTAGTCAAAGGTGTTATGCGGCACAGTCTACCTACCAGTCAGAGGTGTAATGCGGTAAAGTCTACCTACCAGTCAGAGGTGTAATGCGGTACAATCAGTACCTACCAGTCAGAGGTGCAATGCGTTACAGTCTACCTACCAGTCAGAGGTGTAATGTGGTACAGTCTACCTACCAGTCAGAGGTGTAATGCGGTACAGCCTACCTGCCAGTCAGATGTGTAATGCGGTACAGTCTATCTACCAGTCAGAGGTGTAATGCGGTACAGTCTACCTACCAGTCAGAGGTGTAATGCGGTACGGTCTACCTACCAGCCAGAGGTGTAATGCGGTACAGTCTACCTGCCAGTCAGATGTGTAATGCGGTACAGTCTACCTGCCAGTCATAGGTGTAATGCGGTACAGTCTACCTACCAGTCATAGGTGTAATGCGGTACAGTCTACCTACCAGTCAGAGGTGTAGTGCGGTACAGTCTACCTACCAGTCAGAGGTGTAATGCGGTACAGTCTACCTACCAGTCAGAGGTGTAATACGGCATACGTCTATAGAGTCAGAGGTGTAATGCAGTGCAGACTACAGTCTACCTACCAGCAAAGGTGTAATGAAAGTCAGCAGCTTGCCACCAGAGGAGCATTGCGGCACAGTCTACCTAACAGCCAGGGGTGAAATGCGACACATCATGCACGGTGAGCTAACAAGTGACCGACGATGTACTTACGTAGGTAAATGCACTGTAAGTACCTATTTTTACAAACGTATAAATGGGCTTAGTTACATATTCATCCGTTCCTAGCCTTACCCGTCGCTGTCTGGAGATAACGTCAGCTCCACCATCGTCTGTGACGTCCGCCTCCAGGAAGTCCGGCCAGCTGTGCAGCGGGGTCTGGTCCCCGTCCTCGTCCAGTCCCTGCTCCTGCTGCTGCTGCTGGTCCTGCTCCTGTCCTGACTCCACCGGCTCCTGATCCTGCTGCTGCTCCTGTCCCTGCCCCAGGTCCGCTCGCGGCTGGCGGCGCCAGTACCAGTGTCGCTCCCACACCGGTCGCCAGGAGCGCCATGAGCTGGAGTCGCCCCCGGGCGCCAGGTACGGCCAGTGTCGGTCGTAGATGGTGGCGCCCGGCGGCTCCGGTGTCTGGCTGATGTACGCGGCGGCTCCGGAGAGCAGAACAGCCAGCAGAGGCAGCAGACGTGCCGGGGAGGGCATACTGCCGGGCGGCGAGTGAGCCTGAGGGGAACGGGGACGGTGCAGCTACAGTAGTAGGGCTAGGGCGACCTGCAGTCGGGTGCGATACTGTCCGGCTGCGATTGTGACAGCAGCTCGATTAGATTTGATTTTTTTCCAAGCGCATTCGGATGGTCAAGCACGTTTCCGAATTTGAACATCGAAACTGAAAGAAGGTAGCACGTTTTATTGCGTGGCCAGGCACATCATTGAGTGACTATGTTTTCAATTTCGCTATTAATGTTTTGGTCCGGGAAACAATAAAAAAGAATATCAAAGAAATGTTTTAATATCCTTTCCAGAACACACAACTCCTTTTAGTTATGACTGTAACTCGCCTTCCTTTTTGGGTCAAGAACTGAGGAGCGGTAAGTCGCGATGCGTGCACAGTGGAGTAATTGCAGCATTATATTGTCAGGTAAGTAGCGTGAGCGTGCTCACGGCTGATGCACCTGCCCCAGGGGGATATTTGACGGCGTTAGCGCTCAGCGCTACACCAGAAGCCACTCTGGAAGGAATTGTCGGCAGTCTTAGCCATCACTTTCATTAGTTACGGAGCTGCGGAGTGCGGATCTCTGGGGAGTCAGGCCGGACGCTGTCTCCGCCCAAGTAGTGGTTTATCATGTCTTTGTTACGTTACAATTGAGGTGATATGAGCGAGAGGGACGCAGTTAACCCGCGCCCCTCTGGGGGAGGGGGGTGTTTGAACACCCCTCCAGTTTTTCGCGAATATCTCATAAACGGCGGCCACATCTTACCGTGCATCTTTTCTGCACATTCTTTGAAAAATTCAGACCAAGTTGACCTTTCGAGGTCAACATTTAGTTCATTCGATGCGTCTTGACGAGAGGAACACGATGCTGACAAAAGTAAGCCCGTGCAAGTTTTGAGCCAAGTTATTGCAAACAACCTGTTCCCGTGAAAAACGTCTATTTTGGGAGTTTTTACCCCATGCAGGCTAAACCGTTGAGCTTAGGTCAGATCTGAGGATTTTTTCCAGAAAAAAAAAAACATTAAAATAGCTATCAAATGCGCTTTTCCGCGGCGCTGTAGCTCCATCCATGTTTCTGAGCTATGTGCCGGCTTGTCGAGAATTATCGAAGTTTGACCTGGGAAGTGGTGAAGTTTTACTTTCCGTGACCTCTGGTGACCTGACCTTTGACCTTACCTAAAAACGACTGAAGTAGTTTCTTCGTGATTTTTTAAAGCTCGTTCGTACGCCGCCTATGGCGTGTCGCTACGTGGCCCAGGAGCCGAGTTAGAAGGGGGGTGTTCAACCCCCAGCAGGACGTGGAAATCCAGGACCCCAGCGGGGTGCGGGTTAAGTAGCAATTTAGTACAGACCCTTAGCCCGCGCCGGACTGGGGGAGCTTGGACGCCCGGTCGAATCGAAGGTCACATCTCGCCAATCGACACTTCGACAAGTCGGCACTTATGGACGCTTTTACGGTAAATATTTTTTTCGCAATAACTTTTGGCACTTAACGTGCAATACCTACGTTTATTTTACCGGCATCCTGTTCCTCTCGTGGAAACACGTCAAATAATATGTAACTTGGCCTAAAACTTTAAATTAAAAATTTGACCTAAGGTCAAGATCATGACCAGACCGGAGGTCATGCTGCTTACCAGTCGATCCGTTTCATCAGCATGAATACATTCAATGTGTTTTACCGCTTCAAAGTGTCTATCAAAGATTATTACCGAAAAACTGCGATTTACCTACCGTTCATGAGATACGATGACCTCAGAACTCAATGTGGGGTCATGGGTGTCTTCCGGTATTACCATGTTACAGGATGTTTTTGAGTGTTGAATGGCTTTGGTCCAAAAACGCCACTTTTAATATTCTCCCAATGTCCTTGTTTATTTCTCCCTGTACACCGCTCGATCGGGAAATTTCACGTTGGGAGAATGTGACGCCGAAGTGTAGCGTGCCCACCTAGTCTGGCGCCACCCTGATGACATGCGAGATCGGACTTCGTGACCCTGCCCCATGCCCTTCCCTCCTGCCCTCCCACCTGTTCTGAGAAATGTTTCTACGTTAATCGTTAACCTTAACTTGAGGTAATATATTTAGTAACCCTAAGGCTGAATCCAAACCAGGAAATAGAATCATGGATCATCTGGGATAAGCCTAAATGACTAATGAGTTCAGAGTTGTGATTTAATCCGCAGCCATGGTGAATCAGGGGCCATTGACGGTGTTCCGATTGTCGATACCATTGAGCACTGTGAGTCTAACAGTCTATGAAAAATCTTATTCAAATGTGTAACCAGACAATCGCAAATAGAACCATTCTAGAAACAAATGCATTCTTTATTATAATATCACCCGATTAGTAAAGCAAACAACATCACAGCACTACCTCGCCCGTCTCACCTGTCTGGTTATGGAACGGAGCACACCCGACGGCTGCCGGCGGCGACGCCCGACTGACCGATCCTCCTACCGCTGACCACCCGCCCCGCGCCGCCGCCGGGTCCCTGGGGGCGCGGCGCCTTATCCCACCGCCAACGGTAGCCGATCCCGAGCGAGACGCGTCCCAGTGCGCGGGGTGAGTCGCACACGGTGGTGGTGCACGCACACGCAGACGGTGAATCGGTGGGACCGGGCACAAATGGCACGAGACTGAGCTACGGCCAGCGACACGAGGCTAGTCGCCCTAACTGGCAGTCTTTGATGTGCGGCAGTTCAATACGGCGAGTTTACATGGCATCAAGTTTAACGGGCTCGTGACTGCATTTCGAATTAATGTAACGACAGTGCATAGAATCACAAGCCGAATTCGGCATCAACACGTAAAGGCGGTCCAACAAGACCTATCACTAAGTAGGTGGGCAATCACATGGCCAAAGAAACGAGCTCAGACGACCCAGGACTGAGCTCAGAAGAACCACTACTGTGCATAGTCGAGCCAGAACTGGGCTCATTCAAGCCATGGCGAAGCTCGGATGAGCCAGAACGGAGCTCAGATTAGCCCGGGCTGAGTCAGGCGAGCCGCACTGAGCTCCAGGAGCCACGGCAGACTAGGTGCTCCTGTCGCCGCGGTGTACAAACGGTCTCCGACCGCCTCGACGGAACTCCATCGTCCCTGAAACGGACGGACGGGCGATGAGCAGCTGTTCACAAAGGCGCAGGGCACAGGCGGACGGAGTGGGAGGGGCGAGCTGCTGACCAACGGCTCACGACGGGGCGGGGCGGAGCGAGAGTGATGCTGAGATGGCGGTGCGCCACGTAGGCCCACAAGAAAAAGCAACATGACGATCATATGGACAGGTGGCCGGTGGATAAGGTAGGTAGTTCCGGGACGGACTTCAGTTCTTAGTTGACATATGCGTCATTATTTAGAGAGATGCAGTTGGAAATGCGCTGGTACTGGCATTGAAAAAGACGTAGGAGTTTGTTGTGATATTTGACATTTTTGGCAAATGTCAGAAAAATAGCCGGCTTTAGCTGTTCGTGTTAGCAAAGAAATGTCCGCTGAAACAGATCGTGGGTCCGAATTGGATGCAATACAAGTGAAGTCATTTGTCACTCTGGAGCACGTATTGCCAATAACAGGCAGCACAATGAAACGGGTCGTTGACAGTGTGTCCAGACAGGCTCGCGATTGCAAAGGTCATTCAAAAGGCATCAACGTATATGGCCTCTCATGGCTATTTTGAAGCACAAAGAGATGACAACCTATTTTTGTCGAAGCCTTCTGGATCCGATTCTGTGCTTGGACAAGATTGCCTAGCGGTACATTTGAGCTGTTGGACGGTAAAACTGATGAATTGAGGTCAAAGCCTGGTGGCGAATGAACGATCAAAGTGCAATTATAATGACCAAAGTTGCTGAAGCGACAACCGAGAGGCAACCGCGCCTTATACCACTGAAAAGGCATGTCTGACAATTCCTTTGTTGTGGATGACAAAAGAGCAGCACTATCACAAAGCTGTCAAAATGAGATTCAAACGAAGGAAAATAAAAAAGATAAAATTCGACAGGCATACACATATATGGACTTTAGTGGTATTTTCGAGCGATCCTTCATGATTTACGGATAAATAACAATCCGCTTGAGCAAGTCACGAATTTAGTTGAGACCGACAACCATTATGAGTAACCTTCGCATCTTGCTGCTCGTCCTTTGACGCATGCCGTTCCTCTGAGAAATCATCACCTCGCCAAAGAGTCATATCTCACTAAAAATAAACTACAAAAATACTACGAACAGTTATCTGCTCCTCGCCCTCCCCTTTCCTGTGACAGTGACTCACATGACATCACACACATACCCCAAATCACGTGATCTATCAAAGCCCCGCCCACCACGTGTCCCGTGTCAATACGTAACACCACGCTGAAGCACGTGACATATCGCCAGGTTCCGGCGGGCCCATAATTAGCCCCGGGGGAGTGACTGGGCGGCGGGACATAACGATGACCCGCCAGCGGGGGTGGAGGGTGTGAGCGAAAATAGCCACCGCGCGAGACGACCCCAGCTAAACGGAAATGCCGCCACCGACAAGGAAATGCGGTCACCTGCCAGATGTGAGTCTCGAGGAACTGACGACGGTACCATACAAGGAGGGATGAAGGGGAGGGGGCAGGGGTCGATGGCGCGGGGGATGAGTCATGAGGGGGACGCTGGACGAGTTGGATACAAATGATAAAAGCAGTGAATGAAAGACACGGTGATCAGCTAGATTGAGTTACTTTGTTACGTCTATGAATTTCTTTCGGGAAGTCAAATCAAGACTACATTTTATCGTAAGCTACAGACGTGCGTTGGTTTAAGTGCGTTGGTTTAAGTGTAAGCAGCTTTCAAAACTTGCAGTCTGAATACAAATGATATCACCCCTCCCAGTCGGATGTTTTTTTCCTCTCTCTAGATAACACTGAATCTGGCCTGATCCTGAATACCTTGAATAATGTTTTAATTAAAACGTTACTTTTAAAGTGTATGTTTTGTAGAACAGATATAAACAGGTTAGGGATTTAAGATTAGCTATTGTAATTTGATGGGATTTCATTCATTGAGAATAAGAGAAACCTTTCTTTGAAATAAAGGCCGCCGTCCACTGGTTGAGCACGCACTGTATTTAACATATGGGCTGCGCGCCGAATGCGGTTCAGCGCCGGAAGCGCGATGAGTCGCTGTCAGCTGATTATTCGGTGGCTGTTGGGCGTGGAATCACGCGCTGACGACTGAAGATTACTAAACGACTTCTGACGAGTTGAACTTTTCAGTGCGCCCTATGCATTGGGCGATTACACGCAAAATGCGCGCCTAACCGAGGACGGCGGCCTGAAGTGTGATGTGCCTATCTTTGCATCGATCACAAATTGCCTCGCCAGACAACACATTTAAAGAACAGCAAAGCTTTTGAGTAGCCTTTTTACGTTCAGTAACGGTTCGCCTGACAGGATAGATTCATGCCGGACAAAGTCTACGCCCACGTGTATCTACCCGGGACAACGGTAATAAAGGTCAGCCTCGCCTCCCCGGATCTTCACAGATAAAGTCCTCAGACTAGCCCCTGTCATCTGCAAAAGTGCCCTCGCCGTCACTTATCCCTGGAGGTCGGCTCGTTGGCAACCAGGTCTGCCGCGTATTATCGGTATCGGCACATTACCGATTGGGGACCGGCTATAATACCCCTGGAGGGACGTCTCACAGAGAGATAAGAAAAGGGTGAGCCGGATATGCCTGCAGAATGTGAGTGAGGTCAGACTAGCCGAGGAACATACCGCGGGGTACACTATCCGGCAGACGGAAATTATAGATTGAGAGAAGGATGGCCAATGGCTTTGATCGTTCAACCAAGCTTCCGGTTAGAGACGCGTCTGGAAATGTCCTTGACATCAAAAGTAGCGGCATTTGTCAGAAAAATGTAAATGTGTCAAAATATTGAATGACTCGTCAGCCAGGGCAATTTCGGTGTGAGACGTCTAAAAACATATCAAGTGTGTTTAATTCTTTCCTAGCAGTATTCCTGGCATGATATCGCACTTAATAAATGAGCAACGTAGAAGAGCCAATAGTCCGAGTAGGTCTACTAAGCAACCAAACCCTGAAAATGGTGCGTACTGCGTTGGTACCTGCCGCACAAACCTTTCAGTTCCCTGATCTGGGCTCACCTGTGAATGGCACGTCGTCCGAGTCGTCCGCTGGCCGGCCTCGTGGTCGTCCCTTGACGGGGGCAGTATCCATCCACTGCCGCTGCCCCTCCGAGTCGCCACCGTCCTCGTACCCCCGCTGTCCGCCGCCGCGGGGCCCGCCGCGCCGCGGCCGGTCCTCGAACTGGTCCCTGTCGCGTGGCTGGTACCCCTGACCGGCCGGCCGGCCACCGCTGTACCCTTCCTCCCTGTCCCGGTCCTGCCGCTGGAACCTGGGCGGCCGGTCATCGCCGTAACCTCGTCCTCTTCCCCCGCGACCGCGACCGCCGCGGCGGTCACCTCGAAATGAAGCTCTGCTATCGTTCCGATAGGTGTCGCGGCGATCGTCTCGGTAGGTGTCGCTGTTGTCGTTCCGATAGGTGTCGCGGCGATCGTCTCGGTAGGTGTCGCTGTTGTCGCTCTGACGGGTGTCGCGGCGGTCACTTCGGTGGGATTCTCGGCTGTCGCTTTGATAGTTATCACGGCGATCGTCTCGGTAGGACTTGTCGCGGCCCCCGTCATCCCGAAAGGTGCCTTGGTTACCACCTCGGTAGGACGTGTCGCGGCCCCTGTCGTTACGATAGCTGTTGTCACGGCGGTCTTCATAGTGATTATCCCTGCGATCCCTGCGATCACCACCGGCCTGTCTGTCCCTGTAGGCGTCGTCGCCGTTCTCTGCGCCGATGTGCCGTGAGGGCCGGTTACCATACCCGAACTGATCGTCCTGCTCTCGCAGACTGGCCGTGTGCCGCTTGTGGCTGAAGAGGTTCGACGTATCTGACTCCTCGAAGTCCTTATGCCTCCGCTCTTGACGGGGTTCCTCGCTTTGAACAGGAGTTGACGTCTTCTCCTCTTCCTCCTGAAAAAGTACAACTTTTGAGCAATTGCCATGAAAAACGCCCTAAAGGTCGGAAATGCCTTGCTACTATAATTATATTTCTAGCATGTACGAAACTTGTCTATGTGTATCGCACGAGAGATAAATAGCATGAAGAGATTGTTGCATCTCTAGGAAATAAGCTATTGATTTCGTTAAAAGTTCACTCATAGACGTAAAATGTGCATTGTACACGTAAAGCGAATAAACCAACCGAAAACGAAATAAATCGTACGCTTTGAAATACTTGAGGTAACATAATACGCAAATTTCGGACACATGTTTAAGTCCAACCCTATTAAGCAAAGAAGCGTTACAATACTGACAGAATGTACTTACGAATCCGAGGGGGCGCATGTTGGCTGTGAACACCTCCTCGTAGTGTTCGCCGTAGTCGACAAAGTGGACCACGGCCGTCCGCTCGCCCACCGAGACGATACGCGCCAGGTACATCTGCAGAGCCGAGAATCAGCAGGGCTTAGACATATGCCGAACATCAGTGCAAAATGGAAATATCAAATATATCACACATGGGCGCATTATGAATGTCATCTATCAAAAGCAGAACGCAGCCTGGGAAGAAGAAAACGATGGTAGCCCCGGTCAGATTATACGCATTCGCTGAGTAAAGAAGCAACGATTTAACTCATTTTCTAATACCAACAAAACGCCTTTTGGGCGAAGGACGAGCGAGCGAGATAGTGAGCCCTGCACGTGCGGAAGGGCGAGAGCGTACTTCCAACGGGCTTGTGCGAAGCACCCTTCTAACCGGTCGCTAGCAGTGTGCCAAGTTTGAACGCAATTGGCCCAGCCGTTCCTGAGATCTGGAAGCGGCATTCTGCACGTGCGCACGTGCAAACGGGGTCCAAACTGACTTTTACACGGCACCCTACTAACCGGTCCCCAACCGTGTACCAAATTTGAGCGCAATCGGTCCAGCCGTTCTCGAGATCTGGAAGCGCCCCTACACGTGCGCACATGCAGTAGCACCCCAACCGCAACACATGGGAATGCATTGCCTTGTGGGTGCCTACCTGTATGCCAAGTTTCAGCGAAGTCGCCCCAGTAATTACCGAGTTATTGAAATGGGAACAAATTTGGCACCTCTTCTTTTTGCATTTTGCACGTGCAGTGAGGGTCACTCACATAGATCAAGAGTATCCGACCTTTAACCCGCGCCCGGCTGGGGGTCCTGGATTTCCACGCCCTGCTGGGGGGGGGGGTGTTTGAACACCCCCCCCCCCTTGTAACTCGGCTCCTGGGCCATGCAGCGATACGCGGAAGGCGGCGTTCGAAAGAGCGTAAAAAATAATGACGAAATCACTTCGGTCAATTTTTTGGTCAGGTCAAAGGTCAGGTCACCAGAGGTCATTGAAGGCAAAATTTCGCCGATTTCCAGGTCGAATGTCGAAAATTTCGAAGAAGCCAACGCATAACTCGGGAACCAATAGAGCTACAGCGCCGCGGAAAAGCGCATTCGATAGCCCTATTAACGCCCTTTCTGAGTAATTCTCTCAGATTTGACCTAACGTCAACGGTTTTGCCTGCAGGGGGCAAAAACTGCAAAAATAGCCGATTTTTTCGAGAACAGTTTTTCTGCAATAACTTTTGACCAAGCCTTGTACGAGCTTACTTTTACCGGCATCGTGTTCCTCTCGTCAAGACGCATCGAATGAACTATAACTTGACCTTGAAAGGTCAACTTGAAAATTTGACCTCAGGTCAAGGTCATGACCTGACCGGAAAGGGTCATGTTGCATATCAGTCGATCCGTATCGTCGAGCTGAACACATCTAAGGCGTTTTCATCGCTCTAGCATGCCTCTATCAAAAGTTATTTGCGAAAAACTGTTAGATATCATTCGTGACCTAAGATGACCTCACTCTCAGGGCATAAACAAGGGTCACGGACACCATTTTCAAGTTCAGTGTGTCTAAACCACTTGTAATTCGGTGTTTGGGAGTGTTTATAATGTCTTTCATCCAAAAGAGGCGCATTTCAATTTTCTCCCATTGACTTATAATGGGAGGTCGCAAAATTGACCTGACCTTAGGTCATCGATATCAAAATTCTGAGATATACATTTTGTACATGCTATTGCTCCTAGCAATCGCTGAAAGTTTCAAAGCGATCGGTCACTCGGTGTAGCTATGACAGACATTGAAAGTTTTTATGAGGTGAGGTCACTTCAAGTGACCTGGTGACCTGACCTTGAATGACTTTGGTCTGAAATTTTCACAACATGTGTAGAATTGATGTATGATAAGGTGTACCAAAAACGGCGGCGCTCCGCGCCGCCGTTTTTGAGATATTCGCGAAAAACCACAAGGGGGTGTTCAAACACCCCCCCCCCCCAGCAGGGCGCGGGTTAATAGAAGGGATGCAGCTACCCTACAAAAATTACCGCAAGACAATCGCCCAACCGGCTGCTGAGATATGAGCCTCTCAAAATCACTACTTTTGCAAAACAGCTTGAACACCCTTGACTTTTCACGTGGCACGTGCCACGACGGTCACTGAGATGTATCAAAAGTAGTCAATTACGGGGCAGAAGGGATGGGGCTACCCAGCAAAAAAGACCGCAGGCCAATCGGTCCAGCGGTTGCTAAGATATAAGCCTCTCAAAAGTGTTACAGGTCGGGCCGGGCCGGGCCGCTCAAACTGAGATTTTTCCGTTATTACGAGCGAGCGAGCGCAGCGAGCGAAGCGAAGTCTTTTCAATATAACGGAAAAATCTCAGTATGAGCGGCCCGGCCCGGCCCGGCCCGGCCTATAACGCTTTTGAGAGGCTTATATCTCAGCAACCGCTGGACCGATTGGCCTGCGGTCTTTTTTTTTTTTGCTGGGTAGCCCCATCCCTTCTACCCCGTAATTGACTACTTTTGATACATCTCAGTGACCGTCGTGGCACGTGCCACGTGAAAAGTCAAGGGTGTTCAAGAAGCTGTTTTGCAAAAATAGTGATTTTGAGAGGCCCATATCTCAGCAGCGGCTTGGGCGATTGTCTTGCGGTATTTTTTGCACGGTAGCTGCATCCCTTCTACCAAAGGTCTGATACTCGATCTTTGTGAGTGACCTCCACTGCACGTGCAAAATGCAAAAAGAAGAGGTGCCAAATTTGTTCCCATTTCAATAACTCGGTAATTACTGGGGCGATTTCGCTGAAATTTGGCATACAGGTAGGCACCCACCAGGCAATGCATTCCCATGTGTTGCGGTTGGGGTGCTACTGCACGTGCGCACGTGCAGGGGGCGCTCCCAGATCTCGAGAACGGCTGGGCCGATTGCGCTCAAATTTGGTACACGGTTGGGGACCGGTTAGTAGGGTGCCGTGCAAAAGTCAGTTTGGACCGTTTGGACCCCGTTTGCACGTGCGCACGTGCAGAATGCTACTTCCAGATCTCAGGAACGGCTGGGCCGATTGTGTTCAAATTTGGCACACCGCTAACGACCGGTTAGAAGGGTGCTTTGCACAAGCCCGTTGGAAGTACCCTCTCGCCCTTCCGCACGTGCAGGGCTCACTATCTCGCTCGCTCGTTCTTCGCCCAAAAGGCGTTTTACTGGTAATAGAGCTTGATGACAACTAGAGATTAAGTTACGGTTCACTAATTTGTAGGAAGCAATAAAAGACGACGATAAAGCTTAGGAATAGAGGCTTCAAGTATCAACGTAGCGGGTCCGCTCACCTTTTTATCCTGCCAGTAGGTGGCTAGGCACATCTCTCCCTCCGTGTACCGGTGCTCGGGGGCGGCCGCCGGAGCCGCCGCGGCCGGTACCGCGGCCGCCGGCGCCGCTGCTGTCGGCCCACCGTCCCCCTCTGGCGGCTCGCCGCCGGCCGCCTCACCGCCGGGCAGGGCGGGGAACTGCTGACGGTCCTCCGAGTACACCTCGAACCCGCGGCCGACCGACGAGGGCCGCTCGCCGGCCGACCAGGTGCGGAAGTCGCCGCGGCCGCCGCCGGCCCCGCAGCGCCGGTCCCGTGCCCGGCGACCCTCCACGAACTCGTCAGAGGAGACGTGCGGCCGCTGGGCGCCGCGGCCGCCCCGCCCGCCGCGGCCCCGGTCACCAGAGCCGCCGTCTGACGCGCCCCGGTCACCGCCGCGGCCGTAGCCTCTGTCCGAGCCGCCGTAACCTCTATCAGAGCCGCTGTAACCTCTGTCAGAGCCGCCGTAACCTCTATCAGAGCCGCCACGACCCCTGTCATAGCCTCTATCCGGGCCGCCACTGTAGTCTCTGTCTGGGCCACCCCGACCACCGCCGTAGCCTCTGTCCGGTCCACTGCGATCACTGTAGCCTCTGTCCAAGCTGCCCCGGCCCCTATCGTAGCCTCTATCCGGACCACCGCGGCCGCTGTCGTAGCCTCTCTCGCGGTCGCTGTAGCCTCTGCCTGGCCCACCGTAGCCTCTGCCTGGTCCACCGTAGCCTCTGCCTGGTCCACCATGACCTCTGCCGCTATCGCTGTAGCCTCTGCCCGGCCCACCGTAGCCTCTGTCACGGTCGCTGTACGCGTGACCGCCGGTGGCGCCGCCGAGCTCGTCATCGGGGGGTGTCGGGGCCCGGTTGGAGGAGGCTGTGAACGAACAGGGACACAGTGCTGTTAGTCGATATCGACATAAGAGCGAAAAACAATCTATAAATGACTTTAGGACGATGGTCTCCATTTTTTTTTCTTAGACAGCAAAGGCAGCCATGATAGGAATAAATACGCATATAAATGACCGATTTCCCAGTGATAAAAGCAGGTCTGATACACGAACACAAAAAGCGTAGACTTGGAATCTGATCTGGTAATCAACCACAGCCGCAAGAAAGGCACCACATGAAACAAAGAGACGTCCAAACGTACCTGCCGAGTCGCCGCCCAGTTTCTGACTGACAAAGTCGAGCAGCGTGATGGGCTCGCTGGGCCGAGTGGAGGGCTCTTCGGCCTCGTACCTGTCCCGGCCGCGGCCGCGGCGGCCACCGCGGCCCCGTCCCCTGCCCCTGCCGCGGCCCGTGTCGGCGTCCGAGTCGTCCCGGCCGTCGCGCCGCGCACGGTACCTCTGCAGGAGGGGGGAGGGTGAGATCAGTGTATGTCAGACGGGGGTGTGTAGTGGGATACGCAGTGCAGTGTGCACGATATGATAGCCACTGGCCAGACAGAGTGGATAGAGGATGCACGGCGATCGACATCGAGTACAAAAGAGATACTAAACAATACGAAAGCGTTCTGTTGTCGTTAGTAAGATGCAAAGAGTAAATGACCGATTGATCTGTAATTGAAATGTGGTGACGCAGAAGGAAGAAAAAAAAATGTAACAAAGTTTTCACCGAAAAGCATAAACATATTTCGATCCAACGTGATGTGAATTATGATCAGGACGAGGCGGGTCGATCAGCCAGCCTGAGGTTGGCCACAATGAGAGTCCATACCTGAAGGTTCTGCAGGGCGCGTCCCACGTCGTTGCCGGTGTAGCGGAGCGCTGCCTCGGACTCCTCCTGGGTGAATCCGGCGCCCATTAGCGTCTGCAGATTAGCGTCCGTCATCTGACCGCAGAGACAGACAGAGGTCAGCAGTCAGCAGGGTCAGCACGGTCAGCAAGGGTCAGCGCAGGTTAGCGCAGGTCAGCGGTCAGAATGAGTCAAATCAGCTCACGGGACACAATGAAGGCTCGGGTGAACTTGGATATGGTGCCTTTTTAGCGCATTTGTCATTGTGCGGCGCATGAGTAACAGCTACCTAACTCCGACCGAACCAGTCCATTGACGTCATTTCGTACCCGGTACCACTCGCCTGCTTGGTTCCAATGTTTGTACCGAATACCATTTTCTGTTTGCCCCCTACCCCCGAATTTCTGTTTGTACCACCCACCTGTTTGGTTCCGCCGCCGAACTGTTTGCGCCCGGCGCCAGTTCAGTTCCTCTGTACCCGGTACCACCCACCTGTTTGGTTCCTCCACCGAACTGTTTGCGCCCGGCGCCGGCCACCTGTGCGATCTGAGCTTGCCGCTGGGCCTCGAACTCCGAGTCCACCGGTGTCTCGTTGACGCCGGGCAGTGACTGAACGACACACGAGTGGGGTCAGAGTAGAATGGCAGCCGGTGATAGTCAGGTAGATACACGAGATACTGCACTCAGAATACGCCTTGCTCTGTCGATGTAAATCAGTCGGTTCCCGATGAAATACACTAACTAAACAAGAGCGGCTGAACACAAGCCGTAACGTTTCTGTGACTACACAGCTGTATCGGCACAGCAAGACTGCACCCTGTACAGCTCCCCTATCAGTTGTGCACTGTACAGTTGATAAAGAGCATAACACTTATCAGAACTGCAAATAACAATAAACGTGAACTCGTGGACTCACGGTCAAAGCCATTGAAATCAAAGCCACCCACCACGCGATAACTAAATCATGAATGAATCACATGTCCCGGAAACCACCGACCAAGCGCCCGGTACGTAACAGCGCAAAGTCCGTCTCACAGACACACACGGACCTGTCCGACAGCATAACCTAAACCCCATCATCTGACACCAACGGTCCTTCCACACTCACAGCCCACGTATCTCCTACTCAGCGCCAGAAGTAGCTCACCTTGAAGTCTTTTTCTGTTTCGTGGGCCTTGGAGATGCTCTTGCCGAACGGTACCCAGGGCGGCGGTCCGCCGGCCACTCCGCTCGCCGGCCGCAGGTGCTGAGAGGCGAACGCCTGCAGACAGCGACCCAGTCGAGTCAGCAGGGGAGCGGGATGGGGCTGGGGAGGCGAGGGGAGTATCGGTGATATGGTAGGGGGATGGGGGTGCCATGCCACTTGATACAGGGAGATCACATTGCAGATCAGTGTTGTAGTGACCTGGGTGAGCCGCACGGTCAACACGCCTAGGGGTATTTAGAAGGGTGCGTCAAAGGTGCAAATCGATATTAATAATAATGGAATGGAAGGGCATGCATATCTATCGGAGTGATGTGTGACTTTTTGAATGACCGCGAGTATTTATGAGTGAAAGATAAATGATGGTTTTCACTCAATATCATAATCAGATGTGCCTGTATGTTTAACCGCTTCCGGCGATCAAGTGTCCAATCCTTACCACCCAGGACAGGAACACTCATACCATACGTCCGCGACACTCCAGTTCCCACCCTAGCCCCAGCTCCAGCCCCACCACATCCCTTCCACTTCCCTGCATACAGCACCGCCCACCTTGTTCATGGTCCACTTGTCGACCATCTGCTGGACAGTACCGCCGATCACCTGCAGCGCCTCGTCGGGAACCAGCAGGAAGCCGCTACACACGGGTACCGGCTGCCGCAGTCGTACCTTGGTGCCGGGCGGCGTGCGCAGGCTGAAACGGCTCCACGGCGGGTCCGTCTCCAGCGCCTGCAGGAACCATAGGAAGGCGTCACGACGCCGGAGAGTCGGTAAAAAACCAGACACGAAATATATGGTCAACTCAAAAGAGAAGTTTAAATGACAGTTTGGAAATGTCTATTGTCTGCACAGCTGCAAACCCTACAACTGACCGTCGGGGGTCAAGTGCGGCAAAGATCCGCAACGGGTTACCGGCACTAAGCACAACCGACTGTGCAGAATGAGTCCTAGTGTTATCTCTGCTCCCATGCATACTCTGCAACGTTCTTTATCTCTCCTTCCGGCACTGAACAAGGCTCATCCAACGCTACACCGGATACAAACGAATAACGAGCGGGCAATATAACACGGAATATCACCCACTGGACCACCGGAATGCGGGACGCCGGCCAGAAACCACGGTTATTCTTCCTATCCATTTGGTCGGCACCAGCAGACGTCACACGGGACCGTCACGTGGGCCGCACGCGTCCGTCACGCCCCCTGTACTAACCGTGACGGTGGAGGCGCCGTCACTCAGCGTCACGCGCAGCAGCCGCGGCGCCGTCTGGCTCTCTTCGTTGGCCTTGGGAGCGGACACGTTCCGCACCTTCTGTACTTGGAGCACACCATCGATTGTGACCTGGCGAGAGGTCAGAGGGTGTAAGGTCAAAGAGTTAGGGGTGAATGATGACCAGGTGGTGACCTGAAATGGTGAATGGTGAAATATATTGAAGCAGAAGTCGAATATTCTTTGGTGGGACTTCTGCAGCAAACTCCAGATGAAGTGTTCCATTTTTTTTTTGCATGTAAATATTATCAGGATAAGGGATATGTGCATTTGCATCCAATTAGTGTTTCAAGTCCGAAATTGTAAACCTGATGAAGCACATATTATAACTAATCTTTGAGATAACTTTCAGCTTGTAGCAACTGTAACATGATGAGAAAGGGAAGCATACATAGGTATGTGTCATACAAAATAGGCCAAAAAGAAATACCTAGTGATCAGAATCTATGTAGGCATTTTAAGCAGGTGTTACACAACTGATTAGGCACATCAAAGCAGCAGTCAACAGTGCTGTCTTGTTGGCTCTTTGATGCTTACCATGTCCTTTTTGCTCCAATTCTCTGGGATGTGGCATTTTCCATAATCCCTTATATCTGTCTGTAAAATGAGTTAAAAATCAGTCATAAAGGCTTTGAGCTTAACAAAGCTGCATATTATTAAACATATCTAAATATTCTACCTAGTACCTTCCACCAAAAGTGATTTGTGCAGAAATCAGAATAGAAAGTTGCATACTAACAGATGTACCAGTGTTATAGCTGTAAAGCTGTTCTGGCCCCTTGGACCATCCCATCCAATAGCCTTACATGATAATATGAGTGCCAATCTAACTGCCTAATCCAACTGATTACCCTCAAACCTATACCTAATTTGTAAATAACATCTGTATGTTATTCCAGACTCACATCTTGAGCTATCTTAATTATCTCAGACTCTGAGAGTGTCTGTCCTCCAGAAAGCTTCTTCAAACCAGCTTCAGTCATATACCTGAAACAGAAAAGAATGAAGCACATCATCATGTATATTTTGTAACATGCTTTGAAGGAGTGGAGTGGACAACAAAAATAATTAGGTACCCATCTGAATGCTTAGCTCCACTTATTAGCTACAAGGTAAAAGGAATTTTGTACAAAATGCAAGACCTATTACCAACTTACCTAGATATATACATTTCGATGATTTTTAGACCTCAGTCTCAACCAGAACAATGAGAAAATCTAAAAAGTCTAAAGTAGGACATGCAATGATTGCTCTCGTATTTCATGAAACAGAATTCATGAACTGTTTAACAGGAATTCATACAATAGGTACCTAGGCAGGTAGCCTTTTAGCAGACAACCAGCAGGTGGGCACCTGGTGAATGGCACCTGTGGTGCAGGTGCAGGCTGGGAGGACAAGGTGCTTGGCACTTGCAGAATATTCTACTCCATATTTATGATAGAACAACCCAGCATTACAGCACATAAAATAATATACGCAGGTTTTAATAAAGTCATTCAAATTACATACCAACCAAGCTTTCTGAGGTTTGCAATATCTGTGGCCATTGTTGTTCAATGCTTCTTTCAGACACCTTCCCCTTCCCCCTTCTTGAAATACTAATATATGATGCTATAGCATGTGGCAGCAGAACAGGTCGCTTCACTTAGCCAGTCCCTGCACTTGGTAGGTAGGTAGTAGGTACACCTGTGGCACACTGCACCAACCTGAAATAGTGAAGGGGTTCTACTTGTTTCTCATGGCTTTTTTATTGGGTCATGGGTGTACATGTTTTACAAAGTTGAGGTAGAAGAAGCTGGACAGGAATTGTAGTTGAAATTAGAAGCTGCTAATTGACAGGTACTTTTATTGTTGCATAAACTTACGTTATTATCAATTAATAAACCATGCAAAAAATACATGACATCCACATCAACATTGAACTCTTCAAAAATACCAAATGGGTATTATAATACCAAATGGGTATTATAATACCTACCCTTTTTGGCCAAACTGACCCCATTTGGCTATTTATATACACTGTGAAAAATACTAACTTAAGTTTGCATATTATGCGATAGATAATTGTATGCAGAATAATTTCAGGTAAGAATCACACCTAACTCCAAAAATATTTGACAAAAAAAAATGAATAGCACACACAAGTCCCTATATACCAACACAGGCAGGGCTGTTCACGGACCCTGTGTGCGGTCGGACCGCACACAGCCTCCAAGCTCCGCCCACTGCGTCCCTACGTCAGCCTTGCGTCACCGCACACAGCGACCGCTGTGGCCGGTCGGGACTGGCCACAGCGGACCGTCCACCGCACGCAGCCGTGACGTCAGAGCCGCCTACCCATCCCCTACCCCCACGCCTGCTGGACGTACCGCACACACCGCACGCAGCAGTGTGCGGTGCCCGTGAACACCCCCGGGTGTGGTACACTATTTATATACACTTGTAGTCCACGGTATATAGAGAACTTCGGGTTTATATCAGGGTATATTGAGTGAAGGTTTATATAGCCTTCGGGCGGTCTATGCACAGTATCCAGTATCCACACGCCCACCACCAACGCCACACCACGAACTTCCCTCGGCTCCTAACTATGTATGGCCTTGCTCGGGCTCTCTCTATCGCGGATAAAAATAGGCCCCGCCCATCCCAATCAGCTGCTGCATGACGAGTTGATGACGACAACCACTACTTACCAGCAACCAATCTAGGGATAGCGTACGTGACAGTAATGGTGCAGCGGTTGCAAAATATTACATTGTTATTAAAACGGTTTTTGCTTGCTTTTAGGGCCTTGTTAGATGAGGATGAGGTTAGATTAGATGAGGTGTTGATGAAGGCAGGTATTTTTTTAAAATATTTTTTTTACAATTTTTTGCCCTTGTTTTACTTAATAGCTGAACCCGGGACCACCTGAAGTCTAAACCTTATTTTATATAACATGTCAATGCTGATGCTGTCTTGAAATGTGAAATTTAGACAATGGTAATAGGAATAATGAATAGCAATTTCACCAACAACATTTTAATCTCTAGGAAGTGCAATTAAAATTAAAATCACTGTCTGCCACACTGCTCCATCCTGGTCATGCAACCAACGTTCATGGGTGGTGTTTCACGGCAGAGCACGCACTGCAGTGCGCTGCGTGTGTCAGAGCATTGGGTTTCCATGGCAGTGTCAACAAACTTCACTGTGACGCTAAGCTATGACAGCATCCCAGAACGCTAGCACGCTGCGGTACCAGCACCAGCAGCATGCTAGCAGTATTTGAACTCAAACCTCTGTTCTTGGTACGGTTTTTCAGAACCTCTCACTCTGTTCCAAACGCGATTGATCATAAACTAAGAGATCACATGCAACGTCATTTGAGTGATGCTATGGTATGCCGTAGCTATCAGTGCACACAGTGTCTGGATGGTGAAACAGGGCCATTATTAATCACATTTGCTTTGCTTTGTTTCAGCATAAACCTGTCTGCACATGGGAGGAGCGCAACAAAAGCCCATCAAGTTCATGCATGGCAGTGGATCTCAACAGGAGAAAACCAGAAAGAACATGGATGCTTGTAGATTGCAGTTGTACACTGCTGTTATCACCTGATGTGCGTGGCTGGCATTGCTCCTGGCAAGAACCACCTGCAAGTGATGAGATGGTGCCTCAGTCGTTGAGTGTGCTGCAGTGTGAGAGGCGCCCTGATCTCTACTTTGTGATGGGTTTCCATTGGAGGTTCAACTGAGAAGTGAGAACTGACTGTGACCATGCTTGAGCATGCCAGTGGAGCTTTACATGCTTAGGGCAGCTTTTGAACAAATGCTGACCATGGCATGTCCCATCCAGTTATCACGTGCACAGAATGGTGGGGGGGAGGGCAACTCTGGGCTCTTGAGTCAGCCCTGCTGCACAGGGGGTACAGATGGCCGCTTACGTTTGGTGTGTCCTGCACTGCATTATCAAGCCCAGTCTGCGCCACAGGCAATGGGTCGGGCTGCACTATATTAAAGGCAGACTATCTTGCAAAGGAGGCTGGCATCCTCTCCCATAATGACACACCAATTGGCAATCATCGCTGCGATGATCACGAGGGTGTCCGCTTATCTAACATGGTGAGGTGGAGAGCCAGTTCAAGCTGGCCTGAGGGATGGTTTTACTTCATCTGAGGCCCCCTTTCCCCGCCTGCCAGGTCCGGTCAAACGACCGCTTCACAGTGAACGACTTGCAGTGGATGCCGTCCCACAGCGCAACGAGCTCGCCGACCAGAGGCGGCGGCCAAGAGGCGGCCGCGCTCCCCCAGTCGACGGTCCCGGTGGACGTCGGCAACGCCCACCGCGCGACCATCAGATCGGCTCGCGACAGCGCCGTCGCCGACTGACCGCATGACTGGTATCTGTTCTTGATGTGGGACCGACTGCCACCGCCGGTCGCGGAAGGGCATCGCTCATCGGCCATCGACGTCCGCCAGCTTCGCGTGGGTCACTGTTCGGGCTGCCACCAATACACCGAATCGGATGGAACCCTGTCGGCGAATGCCGGCGGTGCCCCGACATCGACTGCGCGGCGGCCAGTGCATCGCGTGCCGGGAGGAGGCTGGCACCCCCGATCGGTCATTGGTCACAAACCGTGTCCCAGCTCATGACTGCATCCAGCGCAGCTCTGTGAGATGTTCTGCAGCTGCTGCAGTCTGCCGCGTGTGTTGAAAGAAGAATGAACATGAGAAAACCTCAAAACTTTATGCCTATTCGTAATTGACCAGTATTGGAATAAGTTTGGATTTTGAGAATGTGTGTCCCTGTGCGGAAAGGCATGCTTTACGGTGTACCATCTCAATGTCAAATCCCGGCTGCGCTGTGCGGATTTGTGCGGCTGCTGACAGGCCACCTGGGTGCCAACGTATGTGCGAATCCGCGAATACGTTGTGTTTCGTCAGTCAGTATCGTTCTGAAAATATTGACTGCAATAGGCAATAGGCTATATAGCGTATGACGGTTCAGCCCAGCAGTAATAACTGACCATTGATTGGGCGAATTTTGTGTGGTGGTTCGCATAATACATAACCTAAAGAGTGTTTTGCCGGAATCGTTTAGTAGCAGAACTGACCGGAATATAAGTAGAATGCAACGGTTTGAATCGTTAATTTGTTGAAACGATTGTTCTCTGAGACCACTGTGTAACTTTTGACCTGAGAATCACCAATTATAACGACAATGGGGAAGCAGTAGGCACTGTAGAGTGTAGGCAACACTATATAGTTGGCACACTTACGGAAGCACACGACTTACGCAGTGGACATCTGCATCATGCATGTTAAGGTTTACTGGGAAGAGTGAGAAATTAGTCAGAATATAACTGACTAAGGAAAATAGGCGATATTTCCTATTGAGCTGGGGCGGAGAGGGGGAGGGGACGTGTGGTCAGCTATGCCAATAATTCATTCTCTTTATGCAGCTGTGTAAAAGGGCGTCCGTTTTTGGGTGAGACCTTCCCCATCGGCCATTTCCAAGTTAAATCGTGGTGGAGAGTCTGGAGACCTCAGCCTCGGTAGTCGGTACCCTGCGCGCTGCGCCACCCTGCGAAACATAAAGCAGCAGTCCTGACATCTACAGGCGTGACTTTTCATGAAAGCGCGGATGTGTTCGCGCTTATGCGAAGAAAATTCTTCCGAGTATGGTTGATAATGAGATTAATTGTTGTCATTTATTTATTAATTCATTGGCAAAAGTACCCTAATAAATCGGTTAAGTAGCTTGAACTGTATCGTATTTCCTTGGGAAAAAATGACGAACTCATCCTAAGACATCCAGATTATTGGATGCGTTCGTCAGTTGTAAGTAGTTCAAGTTTTTGGGAAAATTTGCTTGTGGAAAATCATAATATTTCAAAAATATGCCTATTTTTGAATCATTTATGCATTTATCTGCATTGAAAAATGATTGTAAAGCAAAAGTGCAAAAGATTATTGTCAACTTATTTTCTCAAATCACGATTTACGAACGCACAAAACTCCAGCTTTTAATTTAGTGCGTGTGCGAATTGCGGTCAAGAAAAAAGATTTGAACTGTCTATATTCCTCTTAAAACAATGAAGGATGAATGCGGAAAACGCTGTTTTGAACAATTGTATATTTATTTTTTCTTAATTAAGCAAAAGTACAAAATTTTCAACTATTATTACATTTGCTCTCACAAAACCCATCACTTTTTAGCATGACGTCATGTCAGCCAAATTTACTAGCGCCATCTCTGGAGAGCATCTTTCGAAACCTCCAGACGATAGAGAGAGCCCTTGCTCGGCTCCCTCGCCGTTCGCGCTTCGATGTCAAGGCTCGTCAATATTCGTAGGTCGCATGCAGTCAATCCTTCATTCAAATGATGTCATATATAATCATTTAGAAATATTTGAAATATAAATGGACAATTTAGATAATTTGAAGTTTGTTTAAAGCTAAATACTATGTAATTAGACCGTTAATTATCCTATTTGTGACAACATTTTTACAAAGATATATATTGACGTCAGTTTTAAAGTACCCGTTGAATATTTTTCACTGCCTCGCATACAATATTTTTCCTATCCTTGATCAAATTCGCTTTGGATATATCCGCATTCCGCTACGCAGTTGGTTACGCAGAGCCGCAGAGTATCCATGCTGCTGCGCGTCCTAACTATTCAACAAACATCGTTACGCAGCCCAAGATTCACAGATTCTTACAGATCTGATGCAGCTGAAGACGCAGCCCAACGCCAAGGCCGTTTAGAGTTGGTTTAGTTAGAGAGACTGAGACGGTAGGCAGGTACCGTAATAGCCTAGGCCGTGAAATTTAGGACGTTCTATGCTATTATTTTAGCAATTTTTATTACAGGAGAATCCACTTAATAAATCCCCGGATAATAAATCCAGTCGTTAATTGTGGCTGTCCTATTGTCCACTCATCAGCATGGCTTTCGTCCGGGCAGATCATGCAATACCCAACTACTAGAAGCATTGGAAGATTGGAGTAGGTAGGGCCATCGAACAAAGCAACCCAGTGGATGTCATCTACCTTGATTTCCAGAAGGCCTTCGATTCCGTGCTACACCATCGACTTTTCAGTAAGCTCCAGAGCTATGAGGTGTCCAGCAAACTACTGGCTTGGATCCAGGCTTTCCTCACAAACAGAGAGGAGCAGGTAGTCATTGACGGATGTCCCTCAAACTGGACGGATGTCGCTAGCGGCTCACCCCAGGGCTCCGTGCTGGGACCCTTGCTCTTTCTGGTATATGTGAATGACTTGCCAGACGTGGTCCACTGTACCGTGAAATTGTTTGCCGACGACGCGAAGCTGTACGCTTGCACTTGTCTTCCTAGCGATTTGGCCGCGTTACAAACGGATCTCACGTCCTTGTCACGATGGTCTGATTTATGGGTGATGCCATTCAACCAGAAGAAGTGTAGGTACAGTGCTGCATCTAGGCACATGAAATTATGGAGCTACTTACACACTGGGCAACATCTCCCTAGTCAGCACACGCCTTGAAAAGGACCTGGGAGTCCATGTGGACGCCGAACTGAAGTTCCGTGAACATGCTGCATCAGCAGCGGCAAAGGCAACTCAGCTCCTCGCAGTAATCAGGCGGCCGTTCTTCCGCATTAATGAGATCACCCTGCCTCTTCTCTTCAAGACTCTGGTTCATCCGCACCAAGAATACTGGTTCATCCGCACCAAGAATACGGTAACCTCGTGTGGGGACCGTAGAGCGGACCAGCGACTGATTGAGAGAGTGCAGCGCAGGGCAACCCGACTGGTTGAGAACATCCGTCACGAACCCTACGTGCAGCGGCTCCGAATGCTGAAGATGCCCTCACTCTACTACAGGCGACGTAGAGGAGACATGATATTCATGTACCAGCTGTTGTTGTTGTTGTTTTCCCCCGGCCCCGTCACCGGGGCGTAGTCGTTCGGCTCTGGAAGGACCGAAAGCCGGCGGCCAAGGCCGCCACCACGTCGTCCCGTCTCAGGTCGGTGGGGCGTCCGTGAATGTTGCCCATGGCGAGGAGGCGGGCCCCGCAGAGGCACGGGCAGCGCAGCAGGACGTGTTGCGGGGTGTCCGCCTCCTCCTCGCACACCAGGCACCGGGCGGCCGGACAGCCGGCGTCCGCGCAGCCGGGGCAGGCGGCGGTCGGCCGGCGGCCGATACGGTGGAGGTACTGGGCTGACATGCTCCAGTGGCCGGCCCGAAGTTGATGCACGTCCACCGCGGCCTCTCGACTGTCAAGCCGGACCGGCGCGGGCAGAGTCTGATCCGTGAAGATGGAGCGGTACCAGCCGTCGGGCCAGCTCTCTTGCCAAGAGCGGCGAGCAGTCCTGGCGGCGGCGCGGGTGATACTCCTGACGTCCAGGGGGGCGCCGGCCTGGTCTAGCTCGGCGGCTTCCCGCGCCAAGGCATCGGCTCGTTCATTGCCAGGCAGGCCACAGTGGGCCGGGACCCATTGAAGGTGGAGGCGGCGTCCGCTGCTGGCAAGCTGCAGAAGGAGCCGCCAGATGTCAGCACCCAGCTGGCTTGCCTGTGCCGCCGGGCCCGCGTCCACTGTCTGCAGCGCCGCCCTGGAGTCGAGGCAGATAATGGTGGTCGGGTACCTGTCCGGGTCCGGTGAGGTGTCTAGTTTGGCGAGCTCTTCCAGCGCGGCTCGAAGGGCCACCAGCTCGGCTCGTGTGCTTGAGCAGAGAGAGCCGGCGGGGCTCTGACCGTGTGCTCGGTGCCGGTCGGGAGAGCGATCAGGGCGCCGCCTCCTCCGCGTGCGGTGCCGCCGTCCGCCGATCCGTCGGACCACACCCAGGTCGCCCGCTCCGCTCCGGGGAGGTCGGACAGCAGTGCCTCCGCCGCTGCACGGCGGGCGTGTTCGCCGGCGCTGCGGACGCACTCGGGCGGGACGGCGCAGGAGATGGAGATCCCCTCGCGTGAGGTCCATGGCGGGAGCGGTACGGCGACCATAGGCTCAACCGAGGAGGCGGCGACACCCAGGGTACCCAGTGTCCGTCTTCCCTGGTCGCACCATCCTGTGACGTTGCGGAGTCGGCAGGGGACGGTGGCTTCGGCGAGCTCACGGAGCGGGTCCTCGGCGGGCAGTGCAGAGGCGCGCGCCAGCATCCTCGCGGCGAGGGTGGCGCTGCGCATCTCTGCGGTTGGCAGACCATCCTCCGCCATGAGAGCGTGGGCCGGCGTGGATAGCGGGCAGCCAGTCACGGCGCGGGCCGCCGCGCGCAGCTCCCGGTCCACCAGCTCCAGGTGGGAGCGGGACGCCGCAGGAATCCACGCGGCCGCCGCATACTCGATGGCGCCGCGGATGTACCCGTTGGCCACGGCGCGCAGGTGGTGCTCGCGAAGCCCCCATGAGTGGCCGGTGAGCTTCCGCAGTTGGTTGGCGAGCCTTCCTCTTGAGGCTGGCGCAGTGGTCGCCGAAGTGGAGGAGCCTATCGAGCGTGACCCCCAGGAGCTTGACGGTGGGGGTCGCTGGGACAGGTGTGCCAGACATCAGGATGGTGGCGTCCTTGGCGTCTCGGCTCCACTGAGACAGCACCATGATCTGGGTCTTCTGGCTCGCGATCGTCATCTTCCGTGTCGCCCATTTTGCGAGGAGGTCCGCCGAGTGTTGAGCCGCGGCTAGAGCTGCCTGGATTGTCGCGCCGGCGCTGAGTGTTGTTTGACGGAGGGCTCGATACCGACCCTGAAACGTTCTTCACGCTGGCCGATGGAATTACTCGTGGGCATTCATACAAAGTCAGCAAATGTCCGGCAACCTCGAGAGTGCGACGATCCTCGTTCGCTCTACGGGTCGTGAACGACTGGAACCGACTCCCGTCTGAGGTGGTCTGCGCCCCATCGCTCAACTGCTTCCAGGCGAGGCTGGATGCACACTGGTGCCACTTACGATACACCATTCCCGATTCTGATTGATCCTCGACAAGCAAAATACCAGGAGCTCGATGAGATCGGGTAAGACAGGCTCTAAGCCTAAAAATCCCGATACCGTAAGGCAAGGAAAGGAAGGTAAGGTGAAATGATTTAGAAAAGAAAATGATTGATACACCTTTTTGCACTTGAATTCAACCATTCGCCATAACTGTTTGAGGAGCCATTTCGAAAATCAGCATCGAGCACAACTTTTTGTTAAGAATCCGTCCGTTCGTTGCGCCGGTACCTATAATAAAAGAACATACATGGATTTGACCTCAGTGCTGTATTGTGGTGCACCAGCTTCGACACCAGCAGGCAATGCAATCTCGAGAGGCAGTCACCGTATCTCCAAACGATCGGGTACAATTGTGATATGGCACAAATCATATGCAACTCATTACTTGTCATGCGCTCACGGGCTTACAGACAGCCCCTCTATTTCGCCGTGAAACGTGCACCCAGGCGAAATGCACGGTTTTAAGCAACTTGGGAATAGGGAGCATCGATGATGCAGCATAGACGGCGTCAACGAGATACACGTCTGTTATCTGCATCATGCAATGCTCCCGTCTGGATTTGGGTGCCAAAAAAGGTTAGGTGTCAATTTAGGCCGAGTGAACCTCTCAAGAAAGGACCAACAAGTCCGTTTCCTGCACTCGGCGGCCACAAGTGCTACGGTCCGGAGAGCCCGGCAAGGCTACTCTGGAGGCTAACGCACATTGCGACCGACCCGGTCCAGACTAATGCTGAGACACGAGTGACCCGCTACTCCCGGACAGACCGGAGGTCACTGCGGGTCACGTGACATGTAAGCGACCGCCAATCACCGCGCGCCCGAGCGCCGCGCCCGCAAAACGTACTGTGCCGCACCAAGGCCCTAAAACATATGCCGCACGGCCCGCCGGCGCGCCGGCGCTACCGTGGCCGGGCGGCGACACGCACGCGGCGAGCAGTTACGACCACTAGTTACAAAATATGTAGATTAATTGCGCGAAAACATATACAGGGTGTCCGGAAAGTCCTGGCGCTTTTCAACATTGTTAAGATAAATGCCTTTGGTCCATAGATACTCAACAATAGAACGAAACAATGACCAGGAACACCAAGCCACATCCTTCTGCTAAGTGCCCATTCATTGTAACCACCGTCTGTGCCGACGACGGCCTCGACGCAAGGGCGGAAACGCCTGCGGGTTTTGACGGTGCAGGACATTTCCTGTCCTCCCATGCTGTCATGATGCGAGTGTTCAGGGACTCCAGGCTGGGATGAGAGGTGGCCTAGAGCTTATTCTGCAAAACGCGTAGCATGCCTTAGTCGAGCGGGTTAAGGCTGGGATAATAAGGTGGCCTAATCTCATTTCACCACGGTGATCTGGTCCGCCGAGCTCCTCTGTCAGTTTGGTTTGGACGGCAGCGGCGTTGTTGGAGGGCGCTCCGTGCTGTTGAAGTGCGACATGACCCTTAGGGCAAGTCGCCTTGATTGTCGTGTCCAGGAACCCCTCGTGGACCAGCCTATCAGTCATTTATTTGACCTTGACGAAGATGATGGGACATTTGTGTCCATCAGACCCAAGATTTTCTTCGATTGCCGCTGAAATGCTGCTTCAGTCTCAGCAGCTTTGGCATACCGTGGTTGTAGCTGAGTGAGAATATTTTCTAAGACATTTCCGATCTGGAGTGCACCTTTGCCTGCTCAACCGTTCGCCGGGAAACGCCGCATCGCGTTGCAACTCGCACCTCGTTCAAGCCGCACCGGGCCCTCGCGCGCGGGCTCTCAGCGACAAGGCGCATCTTCGCCCATATACCTAGCACTGAAAACGGTTTCAAGGTCATATTTACGCGACCCCTAGCTGAGCGGTGAACGAGGGGTCATATCTGCGGTGATTGGTTGAAAGTCCAATAATCACAGCGCGCGTTAGACGACGTCCAAAAGAGGCGCCAGAACTTTCCGGACACCCTGTACAAACTCAACACTTTTCCAGCATTGTGTGTTTCATTTCAGCCATTCAGCAAAATAGATTTAACACTGAAATGAGTGATCTGCAAAACAGTTTGACACTTCGCCATGACTTTGGTATTGAGCGAGCCATCACTCATCAGCCAGCTCAGCATATGAAGAATAGTTTCGACCAATGGCGATTTGGTTTGCACAATGTTGAACCATTCGCTCAATAGTCTACCATCAACCTACAGTCAAGAAAGAGTTGGGATGATTTTCATATATTTTTGTAGTGTAGTGTGTGATATTTTTTGTATTTCAGGAAAATTTTGTCAAACAAGACATGTCCTATCTCAAGATTTCTGTTATGAAATACTTGCTAGCATTGTTATGCATAATTGGAATTTTAGCCATGGTCTTAACTAAATCAAAATCTCCACCATATGAACCAGGCCATATTGAGAAAACTGTAAAATGCAAGTCTGATTTGATGGTGAGTTGGCACGAGTTGATGAACCTATGTGCTTATGATAGTTCTGAAAAGACCGATAACTTTGCCCTGTTGGTGTGTGTTTTTTACCACTCTTGTTTTGTCTTATTGCCAACTGGGTTGAGAGAACGATGTGGCATGCATCACCTCGAAACTTGGCATAGCTTTAGACACATCACTTTTGCATTACATATAAAAGTGTCGACTCCATATCACCTGAGTTCAGGTCACCCCTTTCTGTCCCGTGACTCCGCCCTGTGCCAGGAGCGGCGCCAGCTGCCGCCCGCCGATCCGCGGCCGGTGCTGTACGTGGTGACGCCCACCTACCGGCGCGTGGAGCAGGTGCCCGAGCTGACCCGGCTCGGCCAGACGCTGCTCACCGTCCCTCACCTGGTCTGGATGGTGGTGGAGGACGCCGACGCGTGCTCACCGCACGTGGCTGCGCTGCTAGACAGACTGGGTGAGAGGCCAGCGAGATAGACATGACTGATGGTAGGGGTAGGATGTGTGATCGTTTGTAGAGATGGTGTTTAGTGGGGACCGAGGATTGTGGTCAGATGATAATTAGTGCACAGTGTACTATACGCCTTTTTTCTTGTGTTCCTTGTGCTCTTTATTATAAATATTTTTTCTTAGTTCATTTTGAACCTTTTAGCCCTGTTTACAAAGCTGCGTTTGTGTGTCTACTCATGTCTTATTATGTGACGTGCGAAGGCGAAAAGCCACATTTTGTGTGGACCTTTTGCGAATAAATATCTGTATTTTGTCGGTTGTTCATCGTATCTTGGATATAATGTGCCCTGGGCTGTTAACTGTCCTGTTGCAATGACAACCCACGTTTTTATGCCGTTCTTTTTCGCTGGCGTTCCCCATCAGTCTGCCGTGCAAGTTCACTGACGCTCCCTATCCGCCGCCCCATCTCACTGACACACTCCTTATCACCCTGCCATCTCAGGCATGCCGTACGTGCACCTGGCCAGCGCCATGCCGGCCCAGTACCGCAGCGAGAGGTACGTGCCGCGCGGCGTGTCCAACCGGCGCGCGGCCATGACCTGGCTGCGTGACCAGAGCCCGCAGCCCACCGGCGTGATGTACTTCCTGGACGACGACAACACGATCGACATCAGGTACACGCCGGCGGTATCGGAGAGCCCGGAGCCATCTTTGCACGGCCATTTGTTGAGAATGTGATTAAGCGGTCATTTAAGGACAGTAACGATCAAGCATCACGAATTCCATACTGCTTCAGTTGCCAGGGTATCGTGGTATTGGGTTTCTATCAGACATGGGCATGGATCCCAGACGACCAAAGACGAAAATCGAGATGACCACTAGATTTGTGTTCTTTAAGCGTGTAATTATTGTGGAAAACATGGCTAACAGATGCCTCTCAACAAACCAGCTATTTTGCAATCCCTCAGAGCTTAGAGTTATGAGAAAATCCCTCAAGATCCATCTCGGATCCATGATCGCGAGCCATGGATCCGAGATGGATCTTGAGGGATTTTCTCTGAACTGTTAGCTCTGAAGGAATGCAAAATAGTTGGTTCGCTGAGAGGCTTCTATTAGCCATGTTTTCCACCATGATTTCATGCTTGAAGACCGTCAATCTAATGGCCATCTCGATTTTCGTGATTGGTTGCCTGGGATCCGTGCCCATGTCTGGTTTCTATGGAAATATCAACAAATGCGGACACTCTCAACATTTAGAGCGTCCGAGTTTACTGATGTTTCCATGGAAACCCAATACCACGGTACCGGTAGGTAGCGTCAGTTAGCGTCATGCCGTGGAACAGGGACCAGTGATCAGTCGACCACGTACTCAAGGTCTAAGCTTATAATTTATTATTAACAAATGTTTCGTTAAGTTGTTAACCATGCTGCAATCGGCTGAGGCGGATTCACAACCGACCTTGCGGCACCGCTACGCGCTTGTCAGCGTTTGCTCTGTTCAGTCGCGGGCCCGCGCCCTCAGTCCGCCTGTTTCTGTGTTGTCTGTGTCGGCGTCCATTTAACTGTATCCTATGTGTGCGCTCCAGACTGCTGGAGCAGATGCGCCACACCAAGAAGGTGTCTATGTTTCCCGTGGGCCTGGTGGCCGACTACCTGGTCAGCTCTCCAATCGTGCAGGAGGTGAGAAGTGGACGTGGTTCGCGATCGAAACAAAGGTCAGGTGGCGTCTAACAGGATGGTACAGCGTAGGGTGTGTGACGTTTCGGGCAGTTGCGCTATCAATAAAGATATAGTGGCGTGGCAGCTAGGATCACTGCTACATGGTAGATGATTTTTTATCAAATAACTTCAGAGCACGAAATGTGTCGTAATTATTTATGATATGTGCCTTATATCGCTTCCCTGCTCCCGGGTTTCACGGCTATATCTGATACTGCAGGGTCGGGTGACGGGTTGGTTTGATTTGACGGCTGGGTCGTCGACCGCCAGTTCCCGGATTTGTCGGCTATCCGTCCCCTGTTTCAGGGCCGGGTGACGAGCTTGTTCGACGGCTGGGTGGCGGACCGCCTGTTCCCGGGTTTGACGTTCTCGCTCCCCAGTTTTACGGCTATCCGTCCCCTGTTCCAGGGCCGGGTAACGAGCTTGTTCGACGGCTGGGTGGCGGACCGCCTGTTCCCGGGTTTGACGTTCTCGCTCCCCAGTTTTACGGCTATCCGTCCCGGCCTGTTCCAGGGCCGGGTAACGAGCTTGTTCGACGGCTGGGTGGCGGACCGCCTGTTCCCGGGTTTGACGTTCTCGCTCCCCAGTTTTACGGCTATCCGTCCCCTGTTCCAGAGCCGGGTAACGAGCTTGTTCGACGGCTGGGTGGCGGACCGCCTGTTCCCGGGTTTGACGTTCTCGCTCCCCAGTTTTACGGCTATCCGTCCCGGCCTGTTCCAGGGCCGGGTAACGAGCTTGTTCGACGGCTGGGTGGCGGACCGCCTGTTCCCGGGTTTGACGTTCTCGCTCCCCAGTTTTACGGCTATCCGTCCCCTGTTCCAGAGCCGGGTAACGAGCTTGTTCGACGGGTGGGTGGTGGACCCGGACCGCCTGTTCCCGGGTTTGACGTTCCCTGCTCCCCAGTTTGACGGCTCTCTCTCTCTGATGTTCCAGGGTCGGGTGACGGGCTGGTTCGACGGCTGGATCGTGGACCGCCAGTTCCCCGTCGACATGGCCGGGTTCGCGGTGAACCTCTCGCTAGTAATGGCCTCCGACGCATTGATGCCTTACCACGCCGGCTACGAGGAGGATAAGATGCTGCGAGCGTTCGGTATCACCATGGACGAGATCGAGCCGCTGGCTAACCAGTGCACAGAGGTAGGTTAGATCGAGCGACTGAGTGAGTCAGTCTAGTAAGCGTTCGGAATAAGAGCGGGAGTCACTGGGGGATAATTGCACAGAGGTGGGTGCCAGATCTAGTGTGTCATATAATGCTCACTTCAAGAACGAACACATCATTGTTTTTCTCTGATTTTCCCTTTTCTCTTTGGAACAGGTCCTGGTATGGCACACGAAGACCAAGAAGAATCAGCCGCCGTCGCTGAGACGGGAAGTGGCTAGTCATCCCAATAGCAACATAGCAGCACTCGCGGAAAACATGGAACGGATTGCCATGGCAACCACGTGATTCTTCTTTGAAGCACTCTGAGCGTTGACAAAAAAAAAACTGAATAGTCAGTCGACAGCTAATGTGGCCGATGCTATAAGTGCTTCGGACGTGGGGGACGGGGCCGAGTGTCCTTTGTGTTTCTGTGGCCATAACCTATGAGTGTGTTACTGTAGCCATAGCCTGTGATGTGCGGTGGTGTAATCCAGGTGCTTCCGAACAGAGTTATACTCAGAACTCGAGGTAGGCACGTTCATAGTGTGATACATTGGTGAGATTGAAGACGACCGGAACAAAGTTGGTGTATTGCACGTTGTAGCTACCGCGATGTGTGCTTGTTTGCCTGTGGATAACTGTTCGTGTGATATTGGTGGTAGTCATTTTCGTTTGTTGTGTATGTTCTGAGCTTGTTTGTTGATCCCGTGTGTCCGTATGTTTGAATGGAGCACTTCACTTTCACAATCATTTAATTGTATTTACTTATGCAAAACGTATACTCTAGTTGGAGATAAAGGAATGAATGCATTTCACTTTCGACTGCCTCATGGCTCATACATGATGAATAAACACTTCGACATGCACAAGCGTGGACTGGCCTGTCTGCCACTTTCCTGCAGATGAAACAGCGCGCCCCTCATGCACTGGTTATACTGCTGCATTTGTCGCAGCTCTTTGAGGGGAAGCGGGCCAGCCGATCCTGTGAAGGTCGACTCTGGAGCCCAACCAGTGGTCTGTGAGTAACTGGTATGCTTCTACGGCGCTCTGCCACCCCAGACGAGTGGTGGACGGGGCGGAAAATTTCTATCGGAGATCGATTCTGAGACGGTCGGAGGACCGGAATCCAATCGTGACCTCTGGGGTCGTTCTCGCGACGGCTGTACTGATGGCTCAGGTGTCAATGAGGGCCCGTCGTTGAGGGAGCTCAGCTGTGCTGTTTCTGGGACAGCGAGCCCGGTCGGCTGACTGACACACTAGCTTGACGGTAGAGTCAGAGCACGAGCAATTGCCCTCATCGATTTAGGGGTGGGGTCTCCAATGAGCTAAGAGGGAACTCAGCGGTTTGGGCGAGCGCTTTATGGCAACCGTGACCATCTACTTCGATGACGACGAAAATATGGTGCTGCGGTCCGGGTGGCGTATTCTGTGAGGGGTTATTTTGGAGGTGGGACTGGGGTGTCATCTGCTTGGTGCCGCCCATCAACCGGACTGTCTGACTTCCGTTCTCTGCTGCGCGACCAAGGGTAAGGGCGGGCTCGTGCACTAACATATCCTAAATATAAAGTAGGAGCAGTAGACCTGTTGTGAAAGGGCGCAAATAGCCACTTAGGGGCAAGGGTGAATAAGCAAAAGAAACAAACTGCTATGACGGCCGAGGGCCGCTGGAGGGCCGATGTTGATGTCTGAGAAATATTGTATTGGACTGGACATGGACCCTCGCAACTTCTTCGAGATGGCAGCCGACAGAACTCCTGCTACAAGAGGACACCAATGGAGACTAGCCAAGCCGCGAGCGGTCTCCAGGATTCGGCGCAACGCGTTCTCCATCCGGGTCATCAACGACTGGAACAGCCTACCGTCAGTGGCCGTCGCATCGCCTTGGTCGCATCCGACACCCTGAACCAATTCAAAAACCGGCTTGACGCTCACTGGGCACACCATGCACACGACATCCCTCACGCAGATGAATAGTCAGACGCACGAGGAGCTCGACTAGAAAGGTTTCTAAAGGCCTAGTCTGGCCTATCCAAATTCTGTACTTCGTAAGTAACTAGTAAGTAAGTAAGCAAGTATTTATTTCAAATGACGTCACTTTTATAAGAACTGCTTTTCACGCATCTCCGATAGATTTCCGACATCCTTGTCGATTGCCTAGATACGTTTGTGGTGCGTCGAGATTGCCGTCGCGCGGAAATTGAAAAGGTAAGCGGTAACTAGTTGTTTGTTTGCTATTTTTCGTTCATATTTTCATTTCAAGGGTAAACTCGAAGTTTCTTTAGTTATTTTTGTATGCTTCAATTTGTTTTTTAAGTTTGCAAACGCAGTTCTTCTCAGAAGACACCCGTGAAGGCCCCGCAAATGCACGTTAATGCCCCGGCGTTAACGTGCATTTTTACGAAGGGTCATTTTCATTATTGGATGCCTAGATGATAAAATCTGTAATTATTACAATTTGCATGATTTTGGCACTTCCACTTTATGTTACTACATCCAGCTTTCAGTGAACTAGGTTAAAGGATATAAGATGTCTCGGAAAAGCGGAGTTTCACTTTTAATTTTTGATGCTCACCAAACTTTGATGCTTGATAGTCATGAAAAGTTTCACTTATTGCCTTGACTGTGGCATAACCTTGTAGAGCTGTACTTATATCACTTGACTCATGACTGTAAAATTGGGCTTTTTCAGAGACCAGGGTAGCGGGCGCTATTGAGAATTCCACACAAACCCATCATTCGTCATGGATTCGGTGCAGACACTGCGCTGTCCTGTGCTGCACAAGCATGGTCCGGACCAGCAGCAGCAGAGGAGTGACATCACCATTCAGATTGACCAGTCTGCCATGGTCAACACTCCTAGCAAGGTAATAGAACTCTGCTAAATGGTACCTATGTATTGCACTGCAGGACATCTAGCCTTCATTTTTCATTGTCAAACATTTCTTTGTCCCTGTGAATCTTCATTACCCAATGTATTTTAGCTAGCATGCTCAATGCATTAGCACAGACCCTCACCTACCAGTCACCAACCCTTGGTACCCTAGTGCACCCTAGCAGAGTGCACCTTCCACTTGAGACTATGATAGCATTTAGTGGTTGTGGTAGATGGGCAAGAAACCACAGAAGTGGAGTGTGTGATGACACCCCTGTTAAGGAGTGTCATACAATGTCATAAGGCCACCTGTTTTCTCAATCTGGGGCCTAGGTGCCAAAAACCGTTTCCTTCCCCTTACCCCCATAGCTTGACCTGAAGCAGGACATGGTATAGAGTATAGACATAAGGAATAATGATTAGCTCTATTGTCAGTCTGTGCTGTTGAGCCAATTAGCAACAGCTCTCAGGTGATGAGCCATGCCTCCTTAGTGTGATGTGCAACATATATTGCCAGCATTATGTATGTGTGGTGGGCTGAAGCAGAATGAGAACAGTTTGACCTTGGCACTAAATATGTATGTATTGGCAATTATTAGTTGAAAGTGAGGTGCTACGGGTAGGATGGTCTGAGTTAGCACCATCGGAGTGGGCCTCCGGGATCTTCTGACGGTATTTGGTGAGGGCAAGCTAATGGGAATACCTACAGGAGTCGGCAATAAGGGGTCGACATGGTTGTGATCTGATATGGGATTGAGGAACTCTGTTTGCCTGCAAAGTTTTGCGTGGACTATGTGCGAAGAACCACCCATAACAAAATTTGCACGGACGCCTTTCATTTGCGATCCTTCAGCACTACCTTTCCTGGCACTATCGTCCTCCCTAAACTGCCTTCAACTGGCCGGGGCCGCTTCAGGCTTCCATCAGCAACAGACCATCCCCGTCAGGAGTCTTATGTATCGGTCGATGTGAGCGCCCTACCGAGCTTGAACTTTGACCACAAGCCCGAGGCTTCAGCAATGGAGCTATGGGGTGGCCCTTGCAGTCTCATGGCTGACCAGCCGAACTGTTTGTCTTTGTCTTGTAGGGAACGCAATGCTGAGATGTGATATTCTCATCAACCTTGTAATGCCTAATCAGCAATGGCTGAATCTGTTTTGGTTCCCCGTCCGCAGACGCTGAAGATTATGCTGACCTCGGACGAGGACCCGTTCTTCCACTACGTGCTGACGCTGCGGGAGGACAGCTTCAGTCAGCTGCGCTCGGCCCAGGGACTGCTGGTGGACTTTGCACAGTTTCCGCGCAAATTCACCGAGCTGGTGGAACAGTGCGTCGGAGAGGCGGCGGGCTCAGAGAGCCCCAGGTCAGTCCGGGATCGGTTGGTGCGGCCACTTAGACGTTTGAGAATCATACATTTGGTTTGCTTGCTATAAATGAATACCCTAAAACTTGGTATTCTGATTAAGTAATTGCCTCGCAAAAGGAAGATCATTGTTGAGGTGATGATCGTAACATTCTTACCATGTTGCGTGGTTTCTGTTCTGTCTAGCGCTGCTGTGATGTACTCGAGTGTCGTTGCTACCCTACCGACGACTCACCCGTCCCCCGCTCCGCAGGTTCTCACTGCACGTGGACACGGCCGGGTGTGGGGAACGCCAGGCCCTGCTGGAAGTCGTCGAAGTGAACCCATTCCGACACTTGTCCCACATCGCGCTCAGGCTAGCCGCTGCCTCCGACTCGGACCTCAAGCTCTACCTCGCCAAAACAATCAAAACAATCAAGGTACGGCGGGTGTGATGGATGGTAGCGCGAGGCTGAACGATACATCCTATAATTGTAGTCGCTGTTCAATGTTTATTTTCTGCACCTGATGAACCTATCCCTGTCTGTCGCATTAGGAGGCTGTTGTCAGACTTTTTTAACTTTCTTGCCCGTGTGTCGCATGATTTTAATGGCAACCTCACATAAAACGCAAAACGCATCACGACCTTACTTGACCTTAGCTAACCTCCCGCGGTCCCTGACCTGATTTGACCTAACCTTCCCTTAATGTATGTACTCTGACAGGAGGAGCTGCAGTCTGAGCGGGAGCGGCGCTCCAGCGCCGAGCAGAGTCACACCAGCCAGCTGCGGCATACACAGGAGCTGCTAGCGCAGCGCAGCTCTCAGCTGGAGCAGCTGCGCGCCGAGCTGCAGCAGCTGAGCACCACCAGCAGCTCGCAGCTGCAGCAGCAGCTGGCAGCCGAGCGGGACAAGGCCAGACAGGTGCGTGGGTCTGCCGAGCCGGGGGCGCGTGTTTAACAGTGTTACCTTTGTTTTACTTGAAATTTAATAATTGCTTCACTTATGTAGCTGTTGCCGACAGAACATGCAACTGGCGTCGCGATATCGGCAACATTCCCGATTGTTGGACACTGCTGTAGGCATTCCCATCCTTGCGAACCGATGGTCTCTGGGCTGCACAGGCTGTACGCTGACGACGTCTTGCTGTGACTGACACAGGCGCAGTGGGAGGAGCAGCAGAAGCAGCAGGCGGAGCGCCAGCGGCTGGTGGACCAGCACCGTCAGCAGACGCAGCAGCTGGAGCAGCGCGCCGAGACGCTGGACAGGCAGTGCCGACAGCTGACCGAGACCAAGTACAAACAGGAGGTCCGCTGCAGGTCGGTGCGCGGACAACACTCCTGGTCCAGTACTACCCCGGTCCGACCGGAGCTGAAGGGACCCGTGGCAGACCAGTACTGGGCTATCAGTGGCCGTTACTCCGTGAGCTCAAACTAAGTGCGCGACGCGTTCGATAGACTCCGTTGGTAGCTTTGACTTAGACTTTAGAGGAAGCAAACACGCTTTGATTACAAGTCTGACTTCAGGTAGGTAATCGGCGGGTGTGGCTGACTTTGTGTAGCCTCTGTTCTCTCCCCGTACTCTGCTAGGGAGATGGAGATTTGAGAGCCAACTGAAGACAAAACTTTCTTCCCGTTTTCCCCGTCAGGGAGG